CCAGAGCCTCTAGGCGCAGATCTTGTAATTAAAGTGTGATCCAGAAGGGACTGGTAGTGAACGTCCATGAGGACTTCAACAAGCGGGCGATCAGTAGCCCTGTGTCCCTCAGCTCTCTGGTAAGGCTCAACAGTAGGTGGTGGGGGAGTGATGGTTGCGGGCATCGCAGCGGTGTTGGCAGCTTGTGCCGTTTGGGAAGCGATAAATGCTCCCTGCGCAGCTTGAGCTTGTTCCACCTGAGCGAGGTGCGCTTGCAGCCCCGCCATTCCCTGTTGGATGCTACTGAGGGCTCTCAATAGTTGCTCCTCAGTCTGTGAAAGTGCAGGGGGAATGACAGCAGGGACCACAGTGGGGACGTGGAGCGGCACCTCCTGCGAAGATGCAGATGTGGCGGAGTTTGAAGATGTCCCAGCGGCAGTCTGGAAAGCTGGGACGACAGTAGAAGGAGCGGTGGCATTTCCCTGATTCGCCATGAGTTGTTCTCGCACTTGCTCTCTGAACAGACGTCTCTGTGATCGAGCGGAAGGAGTAGGACTTGTGGGACGCTGAAAACGCTTCGGACCCCTACAAAATGGCAGCCACACCAAACTAAAAGTTAGAAAAATCAAGTAAACACAAAATTCACGATTACAACGAATTAAAAGTAAATTATGGCGCTTCAAAAGATTTCCAACAGATACTTTTCATGAGTTTAAAATCCCCGGCAACGGCGCCAAATTATGATGACTAATTTTTGGTTATTGTAATTTGTATACAAATTCACAGGGAATTTTATTCGAAAATTAATGAGTAGGATTTTATAGGAAACGATCAGATATAGCAATTGTTTGGTTGTAGACCCTGAGTAGTTATCACAATTATTTATACTCTTTTTACTGGTGAGTTTCCAGGTCGAACACAAGGATTTTAAGTCATGAATTTCAAAGGTGCAAATCTTGAAGAAAACGACAAAAAAAAAAAAATGCAAGAAAGGATCCGCTGCAAGCGGATCCGAAATTTAACTACTGAAACCGGTAAATAAAGCAATAAAGATGAGGTGAGCGGAAACGAGCGAAGCGAAAGCGAGGGGTGGAGTACTAGTGGTAACCAAATGATCGGGACATCAGCGGAAGTGGGGACCAGATGATCGGGGCATGGATGAATCGCGGTTACCAGATGATCGGGGCATGAGCGAACGGCACATTATATATATATGAGCGAATTAGAGTGAATGAGAGGTGCTATGTCTGATCTGTGCGTTACTAAATGGATAGATTTTCCTGGATGTAGTGAGCGAATGATGTAAGTATGTTATCGGAAGAGTATATGTATATTATGGAAATGATGGGAGAAATGTGTTGTAATTATATAAACTAAATTGTAAAGAACTCATCACACTGGAATTTTGGCCTGGGGGATTTACAACAAGACTTCAATGACACCCAGAATTAAGAAATTATAAGAAAGAAACCCTACTGTCACTAAGAATCTCTGCGACCTAATAGACCCCCGTCTATGTCCCGTTAATTTTCCCAATTTCTGCCTCATTAGTGGCTTTACCCCATGATGTTACTACTATTTAATCAAAATCGAATTTAGCACAGCAGTTAAGCAGGTCGACAAGGCTCCCGCGTACTTAACTACATTGAACTACATTGAGACCGCTTTTGGCGCATAATAAGGCTTAGATAATCAATTTTTCTCTCGCTCTATACCAGTGAAATGAAATTCTCTAAACTTGATTTATATAAGTGTGAAAAGTGTGAAAGAATTTAGTTTGAAGAAGTGGATGATATTTCTTTATATACTACGAAAGTGTGAAAGATTAGAACTACAAAGCTGTAAACAAATACAGTAATCTAATCTAAGAAAACAGTAAAGACGTGACCAAGGGAGAGGGAAAACCCCTACTCCCTTGGCCATTCCTATGGAGAACTCCCTTACAGGGTTGGAGCTCTCTGAAACAGGAAGACCACGAATGCTAAAGTATGCAGAGATCACCAAAAATTCGATCTCTTTACATAAAGATATCTAGCCTTATTTATAGCAGGTGTAAAGAGACGGTTGCAAATAGTTGTTAGGCAGTTCCAACCGCTGGGCAGTTAGGCGGTTGCTGGTAGTTATTCTGTTGAAGCAGTTGCTGACCATAACTCCCAGGGTGCCCGTTTCGCTTGCGTTAAAGGTTAAGGGCACAGATCTTCCTCGCTTGGTGGAGAGCTGGAGGGCATCAGCGCAGCTCGGCTTGCTTGTGCTAGCTGGAATTGGCATGGTTGTACCGCTGCAGTTGAAGTACTTAGTTGAAATCTGGTGATAGTCTGCAACGGCGGGTATCTGGACTGTCGCTTGCAAGCGGGAGAGGCTATCACTTGCGGGCTGTGAAGGTGGCCGCTTGCCTCTCATGCCTTAGTATTTTCAAAGTGTGTCCTGGGCACTTGCGAGCGAAGGCGGCTGTCGCTTGTGGCGTCTGCCTTAGCTTTTTTGGTTCCAGATTACCGCTTAAGAGGGCAAAAATCATTAATAATCTCAACAACGAACTCTGGATCATGCCTAGTGATATAAATCAATATTGTATGCCGATTACGAATTATTTTGATAGTTCTTATGCAGAAATTCGAGTAATACACATTTTTGTCAAGCTAAGAATATGCTCATATTTGGAGTCATCAATACTACTCCCTCCGTCCCAGATACCATGTCCACGTTGCCGTTTCTGTCCGTCCCACATACTATGTTACTTTCCTTTTCTGAAAAATGATTACACACTTTAATCTTATTTTAAATTTTTAAATTTTATTTTTTTTTAATTTTAATTAAACTAATTAGTTATCTTAATCTTAATTTATAATTATTTATATCATAGGATAATTATTTTCACTAATACATTTTTAATTATCTACTAATTACACTCCTCCTAAAATACCGTATCTACAATATAGCAGACACGGCATCTGGAACGGAGAGAGTAATATTTAAAAATCTACGTGCAAAAAGCAAACGCCATCCTTGTTGCGGAATGGAGGGAATATTAAATTACTCCACCTAGAATATTAATATTGGTTCCTTAAGAAAAATGGTTATTTGACCAAAAGTATCATTGTTTCTGTATTTAATTGTCATTCATAAATATATCTATTTTTATTTTATAAATAGTACTATTACAATTTAATATTTTTACAACAATACTATTATAATTTATTTGTTAAAAAAGACATTATTAAAACAATACATAAATTACTATTATCTTTTATTTGTAAAAAATAAATACCCAGCAAATGGATTATATTATTAATTAAATTTTAAATATTATAATAAATTAAGGGGGGTTTGGTGCATAGAAATGAGAGCAGAGAATAGAGTCGGAGAGAAAGGAAATTGAGGAGAGAATGTGAAATGTAAAATAAAATGAATGGATCGGACAAGAATAAATGATTAATTTAATAAAAGAGAGTTTTAGCAAGTGAAAATCATGAAAAAATATTTATGATAGACTTTTTTTAAAACAAAAAATTATAAATTATATACAAACTTTTGTAAGATCATATTTTAGTATAAATTTATGTAAAAAATTAAATACTTGAATGATAAATTAAAAATAATTTTTGTAAAACTGAAATAATATAATATAAATAATTATAAAAATTAAATATTAAAAAAAGAATTAAAAAAATAAAAAAAATATATATATGGTGTGTTTGGTACAGAGAATTGGCAGCAGAGAAATGGAAATGTTTCCATTTTTCCTGTTTGTTTGAGTCAGAGAAATGGAAGTTGACAAATAAATATTTTCATGTCTCTGTTTTCATTTCTCATATTCAGAGAAATGGAGAGAAATGATGTTGCAGTATATATATTTTTTTTTAATTTTTAAAATTTTTTTTGTACTATTTAATTTTTAATTTTTTTAAAAATTATATTATTTTAATTTTACAAAAAACAAATTTAATTTATTTTTAAAGTATTTAATTTTTACGATATTTTAAGAAATTGTACTAAAATATAATCTTAAAAAACATCGTACATAATTTACAATTTTAAAAAAAAAATTTATCAATTTTTTTTTTCATGAATTCTCATTCGTTAAACCTCTTTTTTTTATCGAGTTAATCATTTATTTTTGTTTGCTCATTCATATATCTGCATTTTTTTTTAATTTTTCAAATGAATTATTTGTTTTATCAAACAAGAGAATTAATTCTCATTCTCTATTTAATTTCATTTCTCTCCAATTTTATTCTCTACTATCACAATTCCATTCTCTACACCAAAGACCCTAAGTATCTATTTATATTACATAAAAAAAAAAAAATAAATAAATAAAAAAATTAATCCATTTTTTACAATTTCAAAATATGTGAATGTTTAGGCCCAATCTCACTCGAATCGACAGATCCAATCCCTCCCCTCTTTTTTCCCTTTTTTTCATGCTTTCTTGTTCTGAGCTCTTCCCTCATCGTAATATTTTGTACTTACCATAATAGATTATTTATTTTTTATAACAAAGAATAAAATATTCAATTTTTTTAATAACTATACTGTTTTTTCAGTCATTTTTACTTTAATCTAACTATATTTCAATATAATACTAATATTTTTAAAATTATGTGTATAAAATAAATGAATACTTAATTATAAGACGGAAGAAATAGTCTACATAATTGTTGAGCGCACGCTCTAAGATAATTTAAAATTTTTATAATTATAAAATCAAGTTTATAAAAAAATGCAAATTTTAAACTATTAGGGTTTTGCTCGAGATTTATGTCGACTTCATTTGTTTTGCTCATGTCGATTCAGGATTTGTTTATTTCACACACAAAATTCAAGTTTTTATTGAACTCTGCGTTTTTTTTGAGAAAAAATATACAATTTTTTTCTTTCACAAAATATAAATAATGTATTATTTTAACATCGAACCTAATTTAAATTTTTTCCAAACACACGAAGAGAAACCTACCTTCGATGTCTCTTAAAATTAATTAATTAATTAATTTAGTTTGAGAATAAATAATTACTATTGAAACTTAAGGCAGTAAAAATGTAAAATGAATATGGCTGGCTGGGATTGGAAGTCCGGGACCTCCTGAGGCAACTGCACTCAACCGCCTTCAATTACATTTTCTCCATTCTCGTTTGTTCCCCAAAATTAAACACATACACCACCGCTCACCGGAACCACCGCCGCCGCCGCCGCTTCAGCTTCCTTTACAGCCAGATTATGCTCTCGACTTCCGGTGATGCTTTTACTTTCACCTCGCAGATTGAATAATTTTGGATTCGTGGAAGTTTTTGGGATTACTGAGTATGGACGGAATATATGGACTTGATTCGCCGGTGGGAGAGGAGTACGGCGGCAAGGTCTTAGTGATGTCTCCGGATAATCTGATGGTTGCTGCTGGGGATTATAATCAGTATCATTGCCATTCCATGATCATTCCTTCGGAGGATTTTCATCGCCGGATGCCGGCGTTTGGAGCGGAGGAGGTGGGCTTTCAGTGCACCGCAGCGTCACAATCGGCGGCTTCGGTTCATGTCCAGAATCAAGGAGAGGGAGATGATCGAGACGAGGAGGCTTCCACTGTTATCAAGGCCAAAATTGCTTCTCATCCTTCATATCCGAGATTACTTGAAGCCTATATAGATTGCCAAAAGGTTAATCGAACGTCTGAAAAATAATTGGGGATTTAATCTAGTTGCTCGCCTTCGATTTTCTGGATTTTGAAAGCTTATATATGAACCAATTTTTTGGCCTTTTGCAAACCAAAACCTAGCGATTTAGGCGTTTATTTCTGCAAGTAAGAATGATTGGAGTTGCTCTAGTTGCCTAATCGTCTTCATGTATTTGATTGTTGGATTTTGGGGTTTTAGCTTCTCTCAGTACGTGTTTGAGGATGATTAAACAATTTCGCGTTTGGCGATGTAGGATTGCAGAAGTGAAATTATCTGGGCAGGAGGGGATATATATATGTATATGTGTGATTTAGTATGAGCAGTGAGTTTCGAACGAAAACTTTTGTTTATCCGCAGGTAGGAGCACCTCCCGAGATTGCGTGTTTGTTGGAAGAAATCAAGCGAGAAAAGGACTTGTGCAATCAAGATTCAGTTTCAGCTATGTGCTTGGGAGTCGATCCAGAACTTGACCAATTCATGGTCTCTCTCTCTCTCTCTCTCTCTCTTTATTTCTGTTCTCTCTCTCTAAAACACACAGCAGTGCTGTTCTATGCTTATTTGTGTGTGTGTATATATATATATAATATGGATAGATAATATTGTTCTTGGACAGTGTTTTAGTTTTAGTTTCAGTTTCTTTGGGTTGAAAGATGATGTGTTCTCTGAAGATGTTCTTTGTGTTCTTTCAATTCTATGTAAAGGAAACTTACTGCGACATATTGGTGAAGTACAAGTCGGATCTGTCGAGGCCTTTTGACGAAGCAACTTCCTTCCTCAACAAGATTGAAGCTCAGCTCAGCAATCTTTGCAACGGTATGAGATCGATCATTTTTCTGAAATCTTCTTGGCATGGCTAATGGCTTCCCCCCACCCCTCGTCTCTCTCTCTAACCATACACACACACACACGGGACACAAAATAACACTTTCTTGGCAGTGTTTTTATTTCATGATTGTGGTCCTTGTCCGAGGTGAGGTGATTTATGCAGAATCCCAACCCAATTTATTGCTCTAATTTCCTGCTACAGCAGAAACCCTAAAATTGTAAGGATGTCTGGGTAGAGTTTTGGAGACGTGGGCTAAGTTAGCTCTTCTTACATTTCTGGCTCTTGCTCGTGTGTATTTAGGTTTTGTTTCAGGATGTCTTTAGGCATGGCATGTGTGATGACTCTCCTGTTTGTGTAGGAAAGAGTAAAAACCTTAAGCTCGAGAGTCGATGATGGATGAATGGGTCGTCTTTGAGTATCTTCTGCAAGTGAAAGAGAAATAGAAGACGTTAAACAGTGTTGTCACTTTACCCTTTTACAAGTTTCCTTCTGCGGTTTTTGTTTTAGTTTCAGTCCTCCATTTACTCTTGTCCCGAGTCTGGTTGTTGTTCCATCTATTCTTCTTTTTCTCTTTTCCACCTTGATCTTTGCTTGGGGGTGTCAGAGGAAATTAAAGCTTTGAAATTTAACCATTCGTAGCAAGAGATTCTGATTTTGACACATCGATGTGTAGGTGACATGCTTCACAGTATTTCCTTTTTGGTAACAGTAACATTTTCTTCTGTTTTAATCTGCTTCATTCAATCTCAATCTTAGGTGGGTGGGTGGGGAGGGTGGGTTCATTCTTTGACTGTCTTTTTACAACTTATTAATCCATATAAACTCCAGTTCTTCATGTGGAATCCTTAAATGGGATAAACACTCTTGTTTTTCATTTCATTGATTTTATTTCATTTGCCCTCCTGATTTCAGAAGTTGTGGTTTAGGGTTCATCTTTCCATTTTACATGTCAGTATGTCATGTGGAGATTGTGATTATAGGTTAGTATTGACACATTTTTATCACCCTGCAAAGTTAGATAATGCTTCAAATACATATTTCATTTGTGACATGTCTTTTAGTATGACTTCTAACATCACATATATATGTTGTTTGGAATTTGGATCCTCTATTTCAGTTTATATTTCATTTTTTATTTCAGTATGAACTAACAAGCATTTAATATCAGTCTAATTTTGTCATTTTCATGTTGTTCTGCATAAAATTAATGCATTCATCTCCTATCAGAAAACTAGCTGAGTTTTTGTCGTATCAGTTCTTGTGCAGGAATGCTTGTTCATGGTTTTGCTAGTGCAAAATTTACCAACAATTTATCCTAAGTTTTCAATACAAGAATAGAACTTGAAATTCACCTTATCTATTTCTTTTAAAAACACAAATTTATTGAGTTGCATGTGCTTCTGATTTCTGAAGATGTCTTGCTGGTTCAATAAGCTTCAAGTTCCCATAAACCATAAATGGCTGAAACTTAGCGAAATAATATTAAGAAATATACATTGGAATGCGTTGAACTGCTTATTGGTTGGCAGTTATAATTAAAGCAATGTATGTCTTCTTGTGCATATCAATGATCTCAATAGAAATATAAAATGCACAAAACAATAGTGATCAGTGATCAAGCATGTACTTATATATTTCTTTATGCCAAGAACTTAGCTTTCTTTATTTGTAGATGATGATGATACTTACAACAAGATAACCTAGATGTGAAATCATGCTGTCTCACATGATCTTTTCCTCCATTTCTTTAAAGGGGTGTTTGGTGTTAAACCATATTGTTTTTTTAGGTTCTTTTGCATCTAAAAATTCTCCTTTTTGTTCACTAATTAATTCTGCAAGCTGTACTTGGAAGTGTGGGCTAAGTGTGATTGGGATCTGTTACTAACATATGTCTCTGCACATTTCTAAACTTGGGGGCTTAATTCTTCATTCTTTCTTTCTATACTTAGCTGCACTATTATATATATATATATGCTTCATTACCCGAGTAGATTAAAGATCGTGGAGGCCACGTGTTTCTTACAGCCTTACAAGGTTAGTTCTCGAATTTTGATTATTGAACTGAACTATAGCATAGAAGATATTAAACTATGTCGTGGCGAGCTAGTTTATATGATCGATGTCTGATTAACTAAGTTCCAATTTAGCTTTTCTCAGATGTTTCGATTTCTTGGCTCTAGCTGGCCTTGTGTGGAATTTGTTTCTCATACAACTTAATTGCTTATGATAGGTAGGTTTCTTTGAACACTTTATTTGTTCATAACCATCACTGGAATTGTGTCGGCACATGTCTCATGTGCCAATCAATACAAAGAATATGGTGTCGAGGTACAAAGTGTGAAAGATGCTGTCTCCACTGGACACAGTGTGGATTGATTAACTTTGATCTGTTTGAGGTCTTCTTTCCCTTTTCTTGATGATGCCTAACATTTATAAAATGGATTTAATCTGAGTTTATTATTATTATTAAGGATTTCAACACAGTACTTGTTGATTTGGTTGCAGTCCGTCCCTTCCCAGATATTTTCTTGATCTTTTTATGGTACCTGAAAAACTATTATATTATATTAGTATATTATTAGATCCTCAGCTTAATCTCTTGTGCATGCGTGCCTTATTTTATGTTTGATGGGTAATGTGAGGATTGGTTTAAATTAAATGGAAAAGACTATTCTTTGGGTTGAAGTCAAGAGAAGTTTCTTCTTCTTCTATGATAGTATATAATTTGTGGGCTTAGGTTTTTCAGTGTAGTGTCAGAGGACTGGAGTGGGACAGTGCATGATCGTGTGGTGTGGATGAGGTGAACAGTGTAGGGATGGACGGTCAGGATTGATTGTTCGAGAACCTTGTAATTCTTGATTGGTTGTGGTGGTGGATGAACAATTGATAGAATTTTGTAGAGATGGGCAGGGCAGGCCAATGAAGTAAAAGGGTTTTGTTTCTTGGAAGAACAAGGGCCCATGGCTATAAATTGATTGGAGAAGGAAGTCCGCAGATTAAACTGTGGAAATTAAATAATATTTTTGAATAATATTTATTTTATTTTTAGGTAATAATGATAGTAGGAGTCCGGGTAGGGTGGACTGGTGGGGTAGAGGGCAATACTCACATGGACGCCCGGGGTTTGCGCTGAGTCCCGGCCCACCTGGTCCGGGTCTTTGGCTGACCCGCACATGCACTTCTGTTTCCATTAATGCCCCTCCTATATTACTAACTTTATTTTATTTATAGGCCCTGAATTATTGAACTCATGGTTATATATATATATATATATATCTATATGCTTTTATTTAACATAATATTGTTTTCAATAAAAACATATGGATGTGTGTGCTATATTGATATATTATTTATGTGGAAATTATTTGTATTATGTTAACATAAATCTTATGTGTCACTTCATCTGTATATCATGTATTGTCAGTCGTATCTTATATTTGTATTATATTAATATAATTTATATATTATTTGTTCTTATTAAATGGTTTGTTTGTCTCTATATTCTAATGTTAATATATGTGTTACTATTTGTATTATATTGAAATAATTAATGCAATGTGTATTTTATATCAATGCAAGGTTAATCATGTGCAAACTTTCAACCAATACATATACCAATTAATAGAGACGGTTGCATCACCAACTTCAATAAATTGATCTAATTTTTATATCAATTAGTCTTTTTACATTGTGTGTAACTCCTTATTGTGTGTTGTTAGCACTGTACTGATTTATATTTCTCCGCCATCTAAATTAATTCACTATTTTTATGCTATCTATTTGTTTTTTTTTGGCATTTTTTAGCTATGTTTTTAGTGTTTCAATTTTATTTATTTTTATATCGAAATAGTAATCGAATGTAATGTTCTTTAAATTTGCTCTGGCTATTATTAGATGCGGCGGGATTGTCGTCAGACGACGAACTCTGCAAAGACGACAAGACAGCAATTCTGGACGAAGGCGACAACAACAACAACAACGCGGCGATGAAGAGTGAAGATCGGCAGCTGAAGGAGCAGCTGATGCGAAGATACGGAAGCCACATTGGGAGCCTCAAGCTGGAATTCTGCAAGAAGAAGAAGAGAGGGAAGCTTCCGAAGGAGGCGAGGCAATCGTTGTTCCAATGGTGGAACAAACACTCCAAATGGCCTTATCCAACCGTAAGTAGGGCGCAGATTGCAGATTGCAGATTGAATTGTTGATTTTATGTGAATTAGGAACATTTTTACGGTAAATGTGAATGAACGAACGAATGTATGAATGTGTGCAGGAAAGCGATAAGATTGCGCTGGCGGAGTCAACGGGGCTGGATCAGAAGCAAATAAACAACTGGTTTATTAACCAGAGGAAGCGGCACTGGAAGTCGCCGGAGAATGTGCATTTGGCGGTGATCGATAGTCTCTCTGCCGCCGGCGGACTGGAATGAATGAAGGTTTCAGGTATTCAAGTTATAAATTTGATGCAGATGATCTGCGGTGTTGCTCTGTTAATGTATGTGTGTGTATGTAAATACATAATATATATATATATATATACTGCAAAATTTTAATTTATCTTTGGAATAAATTTCATTTCAATTGATGATTAATCTTGGATTTTATATGTGAGTGTTTTATTTATAAGTTTGTGTACTAATATTATGTATTGGTAGTTTGTTTTATTCCAAAGTGTTTTTATTGCTTCATCATATGTAGCTTTATAATACTCTCTACACTATAAAAGTGAGTACATTTATCGTTTTAGTTTGTCTATATTAAATGTGTTTATACACTATTATTCTATCAAGGGAAAAAAATCATTTTTAGTCCAATATGTTAAAATTCATTAATTTTGGTTCAAATATAAATTTTTTTATCAATTTTGGTCTTAATATAATCAAAATTCATCATTATTGGTCTCAATATAATTAAAATTCATCATTCTTGGTACCAATATAACCAAAACTCATCATTCTTGGCCTCAATATAAATTTTTTTTTTATCAATTTTAGTTTCAATATAACCAAAATTTATCATTTTTTGTCCCAATATAATCAAACTTTATTTTTTTTGGTCCCACCGTCAACAAACCGACGGAAAATGCTGACGTGGACTTGCAAGATTGTGCAATTTCTTCGAATATAAATATAAGGTTTGATTTTTTTTCACGCCAACATTTTCCATCGGTTTGTTGACGGTAGGACAAAAAAAATAAGGTTTGATTATATTGGGACAAAAAATGATCGAGTTTTGGTTATATTGGGACTAAAATTGATAAACATTTTATATTATGACCAAAAATGATGTATTTTTGTTATATTGTGACCAAAATTAATAAGATTTTTATATTATGACCAAATTGATGAATTTTGGTTATATTGAAACTAATTTTTTTTTTTCCTTCTTTAAATTTATACTCTTTTTTCTATTTATTTACACAAATATTAGTGATGGATCTCACATGTTTTTTTACCCTTAATTCTATTTTAATTTAAAATATATTTTTACTAATTTTATAAAATTCTATTTTCATCTTTACAAAAAGTACACAAATAATTTTAACATATATATATATAATTTGTGTAAAAAAAAAAAAAAAAAAAAGAAGTTGAGTATAATTTAGTAAGACTAATGAAATATATTATATATATATGATTAACATAGTTTTAAATAAATTATATATTCCAATTATTTAAAAAAGATATTCACATATCTTATATATATATATATATATATCATGCAAATCATGCCCGCAAATTACACGTGCATGCATGCAACTATCATGCAAAGACAATATATTATGGTGTTATTGATTTATATACATAAGACATGTTTGTGTCAGTGCACCTGTTAATATCATCTTCCTTACAGTAAACTGGAATTTCGGTTCGCTTGTTTGGGTTTCATACATATGTTTTTTAGAAAAATTATATTTATTTACACTCATTTAATAGGTTTGCTTATATATTACTACTATATCATTAGCAAAAATAATTTATAAATAAATAAAAATAAAATCATTTCATTCAGGTATGAGCGTACATTTTAATCAAATAATGAAATCTTTATTATAAATATAAATAAATAAAATGTATATTTTAGAATCTTTATACCGGATGTGTTGATTTGATCCCGTCAGTTTTATAAAAAAGAGTAACACATTCAACATATCACATTATACAATTTTATATAACACAATATACTGTGACCTCAATCGGTTATGACATAATACAATAAGTAATGTGATATGTTGTCGCATGCATTTTTATTTTTTATTTTTTTTATATGTGTTGATTTGATCCGGTTAGTATATGTTTATAAAAAAAACAACACATATGACAACATATCACATTATATAATTTTATATAGCACAATATATTATAATTTCAACCGATCATATGACATAACACAATATATAACTTGTCATTACACAATATATAACTCATACAACACATTTTTATATAAAACAATTTATGTTAAAATGCTAATTATATAACTCACGAAACAAATAAAAATAAAAATTTATTCAACCATGTACCTAAAATACTATATATACACTGAATTACCTATATATATATATTTAGCCTTGAATTTAGATCAATCAAAGTTTGTCCTTAATAGTTCCATTTCCATGTACGAAAAGCTAATGTCATCTTGGTATGAGAAAGCTCTCTGTAATTTCATTACCTGATGATCCCGTGTTCGAATTTCCTATCACCGGAGCTCCGTTCGCCTCCAAAAACGGGCTGCTGACCGCTGCCGGCGTCGCCGCAATACTCGAGCTGAGAAATGGCGGCTTCGTCGGTTCCGGGATTTGTTCGTTACCAATCAGCATCGTCGCCACAGCTGACATGGATGGCCGTAGCTCGGCGGAAGCTTGCACGCATAATAAGCCGATACGAAGTACCCGACTCGCCAATTCTTCGGGACACTTTCCGTTCATCGAGGGGTCGATCGCTTCGGTTAGTTTCCCCAATCTGTTAAGGTTCCATACCTACAAAAAGACGCCAGAAATAGACAACCTCAATCGTCGCGTCGTCGATTTAATTTTGTCGCAATGCAAGAAAGAAAAAAAACAAAACCTTATGGAGGATCGAATTCGAGTTCCGCAAAAACGTGCTGTTCGTCACGCCCGTCATGACTTCGACGATGACAACTCCGTAGCTATACACGTCTGCTTTCTCCGTAAGTTTTCCACGGATGATGTATTCCGGCGCCATGTAGCCACTGATTGTCGATAACACAAGGATTTAACATCGCACGCGATTTATTTTAGTTATTATTTAAATTTGCGCAACGAAGAAATGATGATCGAGAAAAATACGAACTCACAGTGTGCCGGCGACAGCGGTGGTTATATGACTCTGGTCCTCTGGGAACATTCTCGCGAGGCCGAAATCGGCGATCTTCGGTGTGAAGTCGTCGTCGAGAAGAATGTTGCTCAATTTCACGTCTCGGTGGATGATCCGCAAGTTCGATTTTTCGTGGAGGAAAGCGAGACCCTCGGCTGCGCCTAATATGATTTTGAGCCGTTCTTCCCATCCCAGCTTTGGGACATCTTTTCTAACTGCGAAAGAAATCGAGGACGAAGTGAACTAATTAGTCGAGAGGAATGAGTATCGGAGGCGGCGAGTCGGTATGAAAACGTGAATTAAAATCAACCACCGAAGAAATAGTCGTGAAGGCTTTGATTCGGGACATATTCATACACGAGGAGGCTTTCTGGCCCCGTCACGCTGCAACCCAAGAGCTTCACTAAGTTAGTATGCTCGACACCGCTAATCAAATTAACCTCATTGAAAAAATGATCCACCCATTGTTTGGTGCTGAAGAAGAGTCTCTTTACGGCGACTATCTGTCCTCCGGGCAATATCCCCTGTTGTTCTTGTCATAAAAATGGTTAGAGCATTGTCGAATGCCAAGATCCATGGCTTTCTAAATTCATCGAAATCAAGTTACCTTGTAAACAGATCCGGATCCGCCTTGCCCCAGTTTGTTAGAATCATGGAAGTAATTCGTGGCCCTCTCGAGACTTTCGTACGAATAATTGATTCTTGATTTGTTTACTACGGCGAGTAAGGGACCGAGCTGCTTCTTTGCTGCCATTTCACCGGTGAATGTTACAATGTAATCCAAGAAATAATAAAATGAGTGATCTGATCGATCGTTCAAGTACCTGTTTTTTCTCGCAGAATCTTCCTCCTCACGAATAATGATATCATAGCTATAAATAGCAGACAAGCGACGGCAACACAAGTTGAGGCAATGATGATTGCTCGGCGATGAGATTCTCCTAACATGTCAACACATAAATCATTCAACAACAATATCTTGTTCGACACTAAACAAAGCAAAGATAACCCTCAAACGTAAAGTACAAGAACGTATACACGACGCAAGATCATGTATCAACACAGATAACAGATCTACCATAAATTTTCCAAGATAAATCCATCGAAGAATCATGGAAGATATGTAAAAAAATTTCGAATCGTGGAAGATAAACACTAACAGCTAGAGGCATATATTATGAACGAAACTTTCGACGAGAGCAGAGAAAATCGAACCATGAACATCCACAAAATATTTCGTATGCACAGGAACATCAACTATCACTATATCAGCAAGAAAACTATAAGCAATCAATCACCTCCTTCACCAAGAGCATCATCAATGCCTGAATTGTTATAGAATTTCGTTGTTGAATATCTCAAATAACACCCTGTATTCAAAGCCCTCCCCTCCACCTTTGATGAGCAAGAAACAAGTCTAGATGCTGCATTCTCCAGACAATCCATACAGTCACTTCCATTAACAAACTCCCAACACTGACCTAAACCATAAACTGTTAAATTTCCATGGCTCACTAACCCTGTGAAAAATCCATCGTTCTTAGGCCCTTCCACTCTCGCATTCCTCACCAATTCCAAAACATTGGCCCTAAACAATGTCTGGTTACCAGAGAATTCATCATCCCCACAAACTGTTGTATCCACAGACCCCAAACTCTCATTGAAGAACATGTAATCATCGTACCTCAAATAGCATCCATCGAAGATGAGTCTACCTCCTTTTATCAGTCGCTGGAATGGAAGGCACCTCAGAACCTGCGTTTTGCACTGTGCGAAGCAGAGATCGCAATCGCGCCGGGATAAATCCTTCATACACTCTCCGAAGGCGTAGACTGTGTTGTTCTCCGTTCCGTTGATCGCTACTCCGTACCCTTGCCTGCTGACCTGCGGAGTTAGGGATTCCATCGCCGACAAGAAATTCGCGACGTACACTTGCCGATCGGAAGGTACCGCCGTTCTATTGCCGCAAATTAGGGCTACTTCAGTTGCTCTCGGCTCGCCGAATGACTGATGCACTGTGAAATTGAGGATTATCAGACTCCATAAACCTAAAATTGAAATGGATAGCGAATTCATCTCTGTTCCAGTAAACGAAAAGGATGATCATCAAAGAGGAAAAAAAAAACAACGTAAAACCACTGATAAATATACAAACAAATTCGACTGGAGTTTTCAACGCCAAAACCGCGTTTTCCAATGGTAGGGTCCGCGCGGGGCAGATACAATTCTCCTGAGTGGAATCGCCATGGATGACCCTCTCGATTCAATTCGCTGACCAACTCTGCAGATATTCAACGAGATGATGATGATCGCCATAGTTGCGGCGGGTGAAGGTCGCAGCACCTGATGACACGTGCGTATTCAACCGTCATATGTTTGACCTGCTTTACTTGTTGAAGATTGGGCCTGAAATATATAATATGAGGCCCAAATAGTTAAGACCCAATATTCAAAAGTGCTCTCGGCCCATAAATAGGCCCACGGATGAAAATAACTTCAACCGTTAAAACTGTTTTACTCTTAATTATATTTAAACTTAAATAGTTTAATTATACATATTAGGAGTTTGTTTATTATGAGAATAGCACTACGCTTAATAGCCAACATCTTGTTAGAAAATAGCACACGGTAATATTAATGACAACTAATTATTTATATTAATATATTACAAACACAACGTATGAACTAATAGTGCATGATATCATACAGTCTCACACAACACATGTACATATTATGTTATAATTATAAACAAACAACATGTATTGTTTCTAATAAATACTCGTGTTTTTTTTTGTATTTTATGGGTGCTGTTCTCGTGTTCTTTTAACAAAAAATAAATACTTATATACTTCCTACTTAATTTCTCATATACTTCGTATAAAAAAAATACTCATTTAAATTATCTTACAAAACAAACATATTCCGTTAGTTTTATTATTCAATTAACCAACAATGGTATTTTATAATGTAAAATATGAAGTATTGTAACTTGAACATCAATGATTTTTTAGTTATAAGAATTTGTTTAATTTTAGTTTGAATCTAAATTTGAATTTTTGTTTAATAATTTTAATGCCATGTTTCATAAATAAATAAATAAATAATAATAATATGTTTTCTATTGATAACTGGTTGATTAAATAGTGTTAATTTGAATTTGAATCCAATCAAACATGCTACATTTATTTATTTATCATTTTAATTTATGTTAATTTTTTTAATCATAAAAATTTGCTGTTTTTTTTAATAAAAAATATTATTTTATTATTATTATTATTTTTTATGACATGGAAACCCGTCTCTATCCGTAAAAAAAATTTCATAGGGGCATCCTCTCTCGTGAAGAGGTGATTTTTTTTAGTTTTTTCAGCTTAATATATTATATTTAAAATTTATTATATTTATTCAATTATTCAAATCCAGAGCATTTTATTTTATCAATTATTTTTAGTATATAATAAATTATATTCTCTCCGTCCGAGATACCGTGTCTGCTACACCGTAGACATCGTATTTTAGGGAGGATATAATTAGTAGATAATTAAAAATGTATTAGTGAAAATAATTATCCTATAATATAAATAATTATAAATTAAAATTAAGATAACTAATTAGTTTAATTAAAATTAAAAAAAATAAAATTAAAAATTTTTAAAATGAGATTAAAGTGTGTAATCAGTTTCCAAAAAAGAAAATTATGGTATATGGGACGGACAGAAACGGCAACGTGGACATGGTATCTGAAACGGAAGGAGTATTTTTTTATTTTCTATTATAAAAGTAAAAAGTAATTATTATTACATATTTTTATCAAATATGTGCTCAAATATTTAAGCATAAATGGATTACAAAAGAAGTATAAAATATATGAATATATTATTAAACTTTATTTAAATTTAATTTTTTTACTATTATAAAAGTATAATTGAGCAAACTGAATTTCTACTATAAAATAAAATAAAATACCAAATTAAATAAACTTTTTGTTTGCATCTAATTAATATTCCAAAAGTGCAAAGAATTGCTTCTATTTGAAGGCAAATTAAAGCATGCAATTCTTTCCCAATAAAAAATAATAAAGTGTGAATATATATTATTTTTTAAAAATTAAAGTGTTGAAATATAAATTCTAAAATTAATTTTGCTTTTTCGTTGAGTGCTCTATTGGCCTCAAACTTTGCCATTTCTAGTTTATGTTTGTTAGATGATAATAATGCATAGAGTTGTTAACAATTCGAGTCGAGTCGAACTGAACCAAATTTTAAGCATTCGTTAACGTTTACGAACAAGGCTCGTGTTCGTTCGTTAAGCTTCGAGCCCAGCTCGTTAAGAATTTTTGTTGTTTGAGCTTGTGTTCGTGTTCGATTCGATTAAATTCGTTCGAGTTCGTTCGAGCTCGTTTGTCTTATTTTTTTAAATTTATATATAAATTATAAAGAAAATTTAAAATTATTTTATTTATATATTTTAAATTAATATTTTTTTATCTATAAATTATAATTTTATTAGTATATATAATATTTATAATAAATATATTATTTAAATGAACGCTCGTGAACGTTCGCGAACAAAGCTCGGGCTCATTCGTTAACTAAACGAGTCTGTTTATATTGTTAGGCTCGGCTCATTAACATTCACGAACGAACTTTAACCGAGCCGAATCAAGCTGAGTTCACGAACGACTCGATTCGTTTAACAGCGCTAAATAATGCATAACAAAAAGATATGTTTCTTCTTGCTTGGAAAATTATCTAATAAACTTTATTTGAAATTCCTAAAATTTATTATAAATAAATAATATTTTAAATAAAAGGGTAAAATCTTGATAATTAAAAAATACAAACAAAAATAACAAGGTTGGAACCACTCAACTTGAACTTGCTGGAAATATCATCCCAAAAAAATCAACTTAGATTTATTAATGAAAACAAAAATGTCAATTTTATTACCTAATTATATGTATTTGGACCTACAGTTTCCACATAATATTGCATTTTTAATTAGTACTTAATTTATTCATTCTCATTTTATGTAAATTTAATTTTATTTTGCATAAAATGATTTAATTTAATACTCCATCCGTCAAACTAGAAAGTATACATATTTCTATTTTGGGATGTCAAATTACAAAGTAACCATTTAATTAAATACTCCATTTTTTTCACAAATACCCCTACTTTACATCACATCATTACTTTTATACCAAAAAAAGTAAGGGCATCATTTTATTACTTTTACCTGCCAACTGTAATTAAAATACTATTATTCCTTAATCTCCGCGCCAAAAGTAATTGTATACTTTTAGCTTAGACGGAGGGAGTATTGATTAAATCAGTTATTATGGTTGAATAGTATACATTTATATACAATCTCCGTAATATGGGCGTATTACTATAAATATGATAATTTAGTTAAAGTATAATTAATAACTAATTAAGAAGTGTATTAATAAAAAAATTATTGTATAATAAAAATAATTATAAATTAAAATTAAAATAATTTAATAATTTAATTAAAATTAAAATTTTTATAAATTTAAAATATGATTAAAATATATAATTATTTTTTTTTTAAAAAAAAAGACAAATTACATATAATAAAACAATATATAAAATAGAAATAGGTAAGAGGGGGTATAAAATTATACACGTAATTAAATTAACTTTTTTTTTTTAAGGGTGAAAATATCTAAATAGAAACCAAGGGGGGTCACGGACCCCACGCCCCATGCCTTAAGCACGTGACTAATTCCGAAGTTGCGCGTCTTTATTTTTGTGGCCCTCTGAAAAGCGGCCACGTGTCCCATTTCGTTGTGATAATATGATTAGGAGTAACGTATCATCACCGTCCCCTTCTTCTCTGGCACATTTCCCACTCACAGCTTTCCGAGTTCCAATCACTCGTCGATATTCCCTCGGATTCCGTCTCTGATTTGAATATTATTCTCTTCGTCTGCATTCGACGGAGGTGAGTATTGGATTTGCATTTATTTGGGGATGAAATGCTCGCGCATTTTTTGTTGAATTGTTTAATTGAGACTGGGTTAAAGCGTTGGATGAATTATTATTTTGCGGAGTGGTTGGGAGCTGGTTTGGTCGCTTGTTGATTGTGTAATGAAATGATTGATTAGCGTTGCAACGTTTTGCTGGAATTTTTTTTTGTGATCTTTGTAGATACGGAAGAACATTTGCTATTTCACTCACTGGTGGAGTTAATGTGCAATTGTCTGTGTGTGTATATATATTTATATTCTCGCGGTGAGAATTGTCGGTGCCTATATATGTATACATGTGGATAAGTGCTACTCTTTCTAATATGACAATGTGATTCAGGGTTCTTATAATGGTATTTTGGCGAGTATGCTGTAGTGGTTGCTTTATACTGCTGAATTTAACTGCGGTGGTGTTTATTTTTTGATCTGAATTCCTTTGGTTTATTTCTTTGAAGTAGAAATATTGACTCAAAGTTGTGATGTTTAGTGGTTAGATTTGAGAAAAACATGAGCAACGGCATAAGGAATAGCTTGCTGCACCAGAATTTACTTTCTCCAACAGTTTTGAAGCATAGAGATCGAAGCAATTCTTTGGCTTCTATTGGGGGAAATACCTTTCTCCAGCCTCAAGCAAATTCACTAGTACACAAATCCTCTATATCAACTAAGTTTCTTGGTAAGAAACTCAGTGTGCGGCAAAATAAATTACAGATGGGAAGGCAGACCACAGTTTCTAGATCAATTCGTGCAGTTTTGGCTGCTGATCGATCTCCAGTGGTAATAGAGTTTTTTAATTTTTAATCTGTTATTCCTAATAGAGTTTTTTTTTTAATAGTTTAATTTATTCCTAATATGAAGTGCTGTAACTGGAAAAGTTACTTGTATGTCATACATGCCGTCTAATCAATCAAGATGATGAATTAGCCCAGTGTGTGTGTGCATTCTAAAGTGAAGGTCGTTTAGGTGATCCAAGTTTTAGGCATTCAATCATCAGAAGCAGCTAAGATACTTTGCTAATGAGGAGAAGATGCAAATTTGAGAAGTTGATGCAATGAGCAAACACTTATTAGTGAAAAGGTTTGTCATTACAGAGACAAATGAATAGCTGGAGAGTAAACCATAAATGAAATTCAAAAGTATAGCAATAAAATACTAAAACTAGTTAAAAATATATGGAAGCGTTTGAAAGTAGTCATAATGTTATATAAAGTATTGACACGGGTTGTCTGAGATTCCAAGTTTTGTGATTGTTGTTATTTCCAGTCATGATAATCCATTGTTTTGGTTTTGTATCAGCTTTCGAAGAAGTTCAACCTGGATGAAAATATTGAATTACAGGTACTCAATGAATAGATTTTCGAGATTGTAGATGCAAAGAATATATCTGCAGCTACGCACACACACCAACACACGTTAATGTTGGGTGGATGAAAACAAAATGTAATCATTAGTATTAACATTGAATGTGCATCTTCAGGTAGATATTGGAGCTCCTACTGCGAATTCTACTTTTGAGGTAACTATTCAGGTTACAAGTAGTAGTGATTCCATACTTCTACACTGGGGAGCAATAAAAAGTCAAAAAGAGTAAGTTTAATTTGAAACAAGTTATCTAGTTAGTGTCATGGTACTCAAATTGCATCCTTATTATTTTATTTTGTTACTCTTATCAGAAAATGGATACTTCCACATCGTCGTCCAGTTGGGACTATGGTGCATAAGAACAGAGCACTAAGGAGTCCATTTATAAAAGTAAGTTTCATAGCACACCCACAGTTTGGCTGATTAAATATATTATCTTAGCGAAATGCATGCATTAATTGTGTTGTCAGAAATCTGTTAGATAACATGTCACTTTCTGTATGGTGACCTTGTCTTAGTCCGGTGCAAACGCTGTACTGAGAATAGAGATTGATGATCCTGAAATACAAGCTCTAGAGTTTCTTGTTTTTGATGAAGGCCAGAATATATGGTAAGCAATATATTGTTTGATAAAATAATCAAGCTTTGAGCTGTGCAATTAACAACAGTAATTGTAATATTCTCAGGTATAAGTACAATGGAGGTAATTTTCATGTCCAATTGCCCAAGGCAGAATCGAGGACTCCAACAAATGTTTCTATTCCCGAGGATCTTGTACAAATTCAAGCCTATTTGAGGTGGGAGAGGAATGGAAAACAGATTTATAGCCCAGAGAAAGAGAAGGTAGTAAATTGCTGCAGATTAATCTTCTGTTTAGGATATGGATTAATGTTCCTAGTACTATTAGTAATTAAGTTAAAAGGAACATTAACACCAAGATGTATGATGCATAAAAATTAGGACTGTCATATTACTCAATAAAGTTAATTATATTGAACTTACAATTACCACCAATTTGTGCTGGTGAATTCTCATGAAGAATAAGAAAAGAAAGCCTTTGCTAAAGTCCCTCTTTTTGCAAGTCATAGCTGTTTTTGTTCACAGTAATGAGGGTATGTGGATATATGATGTCTTATGTGCTTTAGGTCTAATGAATCACATTATATGCCAATTTGGTCTTTTAAAGACATGGTTGCATAGAAGAATTCAAGGTTTTTGTCTAGTTGATGCTGATTTTTCTATGTAAATACATCTTGAGCTTTTTATGATTTGACTAAGAAATTAAACAGGAGGAGTATGAAGCTGCTCGAATGGAGCTGTTGGAAGAGTTAGAAAATGGTAAAACTGTGGAGGACATCCGAACAAAGTTAACAAGCAAGGGTGATACCAGTGAGAGTAAGGAACAAGTTACTTCCGACACAAAGAGCAGTATACCCGATGATCTTGTTCAAATACAATCATATATACGATGGGAGAAAGCTGGAAAGCCAAACTATTCTCCAGAGAAGCAACTTGTAAGTATTGACCCTTGAATAGCTTTCTGAAGCTTGGTAATTGTTGGGAATTATGAGTAATTTACCTGCACATAATACAAGTACATCTTTCAATATACAGTGGAGAATAAGGACTGTTCCTAGCTTTTGCACTTTTGTTGCTTTTGAACCAAGTGTCATCACATTAACAGGATGAATTTGAAGCAGCAAGAAAGGATCTGCAAGATGAACTTGATAAGGGTACTTCCCTTGATGAAATACGGAAAAAAATAACCAAAGGAAAGATACAAAGTAAGGTATCAAAGCAATTGGAAAAAAAAAGTTATTTCAGTGTAGAAAGAATCCAGCGCAAGGCAAGGGACGTAATGTCGATTCTCACAAAGTTTGATTCTGTGTCCAAAGAAATAACAATCTCATCAGAACCACCAGTTCTTTCAGTAGTAGAGCAGTTCTCTAAAGAAATAGAAGATCACATTGATGGATCTATAATGAACAAAAAATTATTTAAGCTTGGGGATAAGGAACTCCTGGTAAGTATGTAAAGTCTTATAAGCTGGAAATTTTTAATATGAAGTGCCTTTGTATGAGCTTTTGTATGTCTTCATCAGGTACTTGTAGAAGAGCAGCCCTCTGGAAAGACCAAAGTTCATATGGCTACAGATTTTCCAGAACCAGTTGTACTACATTGGGCTTTGTCCAAAAGACCCGGAGAGTGGGAAGTACGCATTAAAGCTCTTTATTATATTTTAGCTCTAGCAAGCTTGCAATTGAATGGAAAAATAAATATGCTTTTTATTTATTGTTGCTTATAATTTTTTATTGTTAAGAGATTGTGCAATATTTCCACAGGCACCTCCTTCAACTGTTTTGCCCCATGGCTCAGAGTCTCTTGATAAAGCTGCTGAAACAAAATTCAGCACTAGTCCACCTGACAGAAAGTTTCACGAGGTCTAAAAATGATGATTATATTGATGCCTACATGCTGCAAGGCTATAAGCCAACTTCATAAGAACGGGGAACATAATTTTCTTAAACTGTACTCAGGTCCAACAATTGGAAATCACAATTGAGGATGACAATTTTGTTGGAATGCCATTTGTTCTTGTTGCTGGTGGAAATTGGATAAAGAACCAAGGGTCTGACTTCTATATTGAGTTTAAAACTGGTTCTAGAGATGTCCATCAGGTTTTTAACATGATCTAAATATTACTTCTTAACTTTGTGCATATCTATTTTATTCGAAGTAATCTTTTCATGTTTTTGCTCAGAAGGATACTGGGGATGGGACAGGAACAGCCAAGTCTTTGTTAGATAAAATATCTGAATTGGAAAGTGAAGCTCAGAAGTCCTTTATGCATAGGTGAGAAATCCCTCTTAAAATTTGCATTGATCACATATTTCAGCTTTTAAGCAGAAAAGTGAATTACCTATATTGAGGGAACATGTTCATTCTGCAGATTCAACATTGCGGCAGACTTGATGGAACAAGCAATAAATAATGGTGATCTGGGTCTTGCTGCAATACTTGTCTGGATGAGATACATGGCCACAAGACAGCTGATCTGGAACAAAAATTACAATGTGAAACCAAGGTAGGATACCTGTATCTTTAACTATTCTTAATTTCTTTAAATCACCGAGTGTGCCCATAGACTCCTGAAAGTATGGTAGCGATCCATACAATTTTTAAGTCACTTGTATATGAGCGTTTAAGGGTCTTTGTCCTTTCGTTGTTGTTGTCAGATTAGAAGAATGTTTTTCAATGCGTTTGTACTCTCTCTCTCTCTCACCAATGAGTTGTTTGTTTCTATTTTAATTTTGATGTTTGTTTGTACAGAGAAATAAGCAAAGCTCAGGACAGGCTGACGGATTTGTTACAGGATGCCTACAAGAAAATTCCACAATATCGTGAAATTTTACGTATGATCATGTCTACTGTGGGTCGTGGAGGTGAAGGAGATGTTGGGCAACGAATAAGGGATGAAATATTGGTCATCCAGGTCTTTTTCTTCACTTCTTCTCTTTCTATCTCAACATTTTGATTATGATTACATAGTATATTATTCAATGACAGAGAAACAACAATTGCAAGGGTGGAATGATGGAGGAATGGCATCAAAAGCTGCATAATAACACTAGTCCTGATGATGTTGTAATATGCCAGGTAAGCAGAATATTAGTTAACATGCATTTTTGTATTGTGCTACAGTTATATTTGACTCTAGACAATATTCTTGTCTCATTGCATCTGTTGTAGGCACTACTTGACTATATCAAAAGTGACTTTGACATCAGTGTTTATTGGAAAACCTTGGAGGATAATGGAATAACAAAAGAGAGGCTTCTTAGTTATGACCGAGCAATCCATTCTGAACCAAATTTTACTAGGGATCAGAAGGATGGTCTTTTACGTGATCTGGGAAACTATATGCGGACACTGAAGGTTAAAGCTCTAATGACTTGCATTCCTTTTTATAATTTCTGTATTTAGAATTTGAAGGTTAAAGCTATAATGACTTGCTTCAAGATGTGCTTTATTGCATGCCCAAGAATCTTTGAAATTAAATGCCTACATAATTGGATGATCAACGTTGTGACAGTTTCCCTTTAAGAACTTCCTCAAAAGTACTAGTAAGAGAAGGTCAACACTCCGAAAGTTTCTTTGTAAAGATCAGGGTAGATGAGAATAGTTTATGAATGTCATTCTTCCCAAATACTTATTTTAAATATACTTTCTTCTTCCTCCAAACTTGTATCACTTACGTGTTTGCAGGCAGTTCATTCTGGAGCAGATCTTGAATCAGCAATCGCAAATTGCATGGGCTACAAATCTGAGGTAGTTCCATTTAGTGCACCTTTAGATTCTTTGAAACTTGGTTTTATGTGTTTTCAAACGTTCATTTGGTTCTATTACTTATCATCAGGGACAAGGTTTTATGGTTGGAGTCAATATAAATCCTGTGCCTGGCTTACCTTCAGGATTTCCGGTAGCTTATTTCTCCTATACTAACCTGTTAATAAATGACCTGGACTGCTTTCCTAGTAATTTTTTTAAAACATTTGTGGGAACAGGAACTACTTCAATTTATTATGGAACATGTTGAAGATAAAAATGTGGAAGCACTCCTTGAGGTATATCAAATCTTTTATAGGGCTTATTCTTCATTCTTCTCAACCATACTTTACGAAGAAAGCTTGATGGCATTCTAAAATTGTCTTCCCCCCCCCCCCCATCAATGGTCTTATATTTAGGGATTGCTAGAGGCTCGTCAGGAGCTCAGGCCAATGCTTTTCCACTCAAATGACCGTCTTAAGGATCTGATATTCCTAGACATTGCACTTGACTCTACTGTTAGAACTGCTATAGAGCGTGGATATGAAGAACTAAGTAACGCTAGTCCTGAGGTATGCTATGTTTTCAATTGTTTATCACACTTCCTTTTTTCTTCGCCCCCCTTGCAATTATATTAGACATTATATGTTTTCCAACACCCGCTCCATCATATATGCAGAAAATCATGTATTTCATCTCACTAGTTGTTGAAAACCTTGCACTTTCAGTGGACAACAATGAAGATCTTATTTATTGCTTGAAGGTGAGGTTCAATTAAATAAGAGAACTCCTCAAATTCATTTATATTTCTGCTTTACATCTGCTTTGAACAATTAGGTGTCATGTTATAAATCTCTCTTATATCAATACATATGTCCATTGATTGTCCTTCGAAGTTTTGGCAACTTGGGTGATGAGATTGTTTCCTTTTTTTTTTTCTTTCACGTATTTGAAGGGGACCAAGGTAATTATATTGAACCTAAAATAACTAAGTACTAAACAATTACAACCAAAATTCAAAACTAGCCGTCCTTGAAGAAATAGCATGAACTGTATTGATTTACATATTAAAACTAGCCGTGTAGCATTATGGCATTCTGTTTCGCCTGCAAGATTCACCCATATGGTATTTCATAATTATAATACCAAGTAACAAACAAGAATCAGAAATGATATTGCTTTCATAGCACTTATAGTTAGGAACCATTTGCTCTCTATGGCCATTTTGCATAGATATCCATGATCTTGTCTAGTTAATTTGAGTCCTTTTACTTGCTGATAGTGATTTTCTTTCCTTTTTAACCAAGGGATGGAACCGAGCTCTTACCATGTTTAAGAACAAAGATGATCACTGGGCATTGTTTGCCAAATCAGTTCTTGATCGAAGTCGGCTTTCACTTGCTAGCAAGGCTGAGTCATACCATCATCTATTGCAACCCTCGGCAGAGTATCTTGGTGGTCGACTTGGGGTGGATCAGTGGGCAGTATGTTATCAGATAAATTTTATTAGTCCTTTTAACATCTTATGCTACAACTTTCCCAAACATAGGAATTGTGTGTTCTCGATTTCTGCAGGTCAGTATATTTACTGAAGAAATTATCCGGGCTGGATCAGCTGCTTCATTATCTGCACTTCTTAATCGATTAGATCCAGTTCTCCGAGAAACAGCTAATTTAGGAAGGTTGTTATAAATGCATACTCTGCAACTCTCTATTTTTTATGACAACACCTAAAACCACATTCTTTAACTCAAGCATGGCATTTTGTATCCCAGACGACATTTGAGGATACAAATATAACACTTTTTTCAATGGTTAATATGAACTTGTGCCCCAATAATCCAAGGAAATGTTCTGAAACAGTTGGCAGGTCATCAGTCCAGTTGAAGCTGTGGGATATGTGGTGGTTGTCGATCAGTTGCTTTCTGTTCAGGATAAATCATACTCAAAACCAACTATTTTAGTTGCTAATTCTGTTAAAGGAGAAGAAGAAATTCCTGATGGTGTTGTAGCAGTGCTTACCCCTGACATGCCTGATGTTTTATCACATGTTTCTGTTCGAGCAAGGAATAGTAAGGTTGCAGTCTGTTTCCTTTTCAGTTCTTCGGTTTGACTGTTGACAACAAAAGAGTACACTGCTACATCTAAATTTTTCCTCACCTTTTTATAGGTTTGCTTTGCCACATGCTTTGATTCAAACATATTGGCCAATATCCAGGCCAGTGAAGGAAAGTTATTGCGCTTACAACCTACATCTTCAGATGTGAGATACAGGTCAGCAATTTGATCCTTTGTTTATAATACCAAAGAGTACAATGATACTTTACTTTTCCATGCTTATTTTTTATTCACCTTCAAAGAACATGGTAAACCCAAAGAAACAGCCCTTGATTATGTGGAGGTAAGCCAACACTTTCCTTTTGCAGTGAAGTGAAAGAAGATGAGCTTGTGAATTCAACTAGCTCAGAAGAAGATTCATCTGTTCCATCTGTGACTTTAGAAAAGAAGTTATTTGCTGGAAGATATGCAATCTCATCTGAGGAGTTTACAAGTGAAATGGTCTGCCTCTTACATTCATCTTTTATTTGAGAATTTTTTTCTATAATGTTCGATTGGTATTTCCTTATGGTATATTTTCATAAGAAACAACTTCTTTACTGCACATTCTAGTATAAGCTTGTTATGCTTACATGCAGTGCATGATTGAACTTTCTCCAGGTTGGAGCAAAATCCCGCAATATTGCACACCTTAAAGGGAAACTTCCATCTTGGGTTAATATACCAACTTCTGTTGCGTTGCCCTTTGGTGTTTTCGAAACTGTCCTTTCAGACAATTTAAACCAGGTAACTAATTTACATCACATGCATTTCATTCGCCTCCACTTCTATTTGCATATCATATCATCCTTTGCGATCAAATTAAATTTACTTGTGTGATTTGTCCAGAGATTTTTGGTAGTAGTGTCTGCTGTTCTCTGTCTTGTGTGATCGTTATGCAGTATCTGCTTCCTAGGACTATACTCTCTCCTTTGTCAAACTTTGCAACAACTCCTTTTCTTGGGCTATATTACATGATCTCCTGAAAGGGTGGATTTTAGAAAATTCTTTGAAATACATGAAACTATTGCGTGTGGGATTTTAAATGTTTTCGAGGGATGAATATGTGGCATCTACATGCAGACTTAATCGAACTGTTTGGGGTAATGAGCCTGTTTTGCATTATTTATAAACATATTTGCAGGCTGTGGCCAATAAGTTGCAAGCATTGAAAAGCAAATTAGGTGAAGAGAACTTCGATGCCCTTGGTGAAATCCGAAATAATGTTTTAGAACTTTCAGCTCCTCCACAGCTGGTATGTTCGCTTTTCAATTTCCATTTGTTTTCATGCTGATTAATTTGGATGTATGAGATCAAGAGACACATTAATTGACTTCTTCATTTCCCCTTTTTCGGATGTTTACTTATATAACTATGTTCCAGGTCAACGAGCTTAAAGAGAAGATGCAAGGTTCTGGCATGCCTTGGCCTGGCGATGAAGGTGAACAGAGATGGGAACAAGCATGGATGGCTATAAAAAAGGTAAGCTGTCTATATGCTACCGACCATGTTGCAACTATTACTTATTCTTCGAGATTTTATAATTTTTACAACTCTAAAATCGTATACTACTGCACTGCTAAGGTCTGGGCTTCAAAATGGAATGAAAGAGCATACTTCAGCACAAGGAAAGTGAAACTTGATCACGACTATCTTTGCATGGCTGTTCTTGTCCAAGAAATAATAAATGCCGATTATGCTTTTGTTATCCACACTACAAACCCATCTTCTGGGGATTCAACAGAAATATATGCAGAGGTAACATTGTTTCGCATCTTCATCTAACTTCATTCTTGACCCTTTAAAGTTTTGGCAAACTTACGAGGAACATAATATTAATTAACCGGCTCAGAATGACTAATTGCACAAATATATATGGTTCATTTGTTAAGAAATGCAATCAATTTAATCAGCCTCCCACCATACTTGCTAGCTATTGCGTGGCTTGAAACTACTCTTGCAGAAAAGCTGGACACATACTCATATGTGCTCTTTTATTAGGTTGTCAAAGGACTTGGTGAGACATTGGTGGGAGCTTATCCAGGTCGTGCTTTGAGCTTTATTTGCAAGAAAAATGACCTCAGCTCTCCTCAGGTAAGAGCAATCTCCTTTCCAGAAAAAACTTAAAATATTCAGTTATGCAGACTATAGTGTGCCTGCATATTTCTGCCAACATCGGTTGTTTCGACATTATTCAAGTATGCATATAGTCCTAAATGATATATATATATATTTTTTATAACATGGGAACCCGTAGCCGCTACTTGTCCAGATATATTGATTATGTTGTACCTTGTTCAAGATATAAACTTTTTCTCCCATCGCAACAATACAATGCTTTTGTGTGTTTATGTGTAAACTCTTGTAATTATTGGCAGCAGCTAAAACTCGACTCCGGTGCATTCTTGAACCATTTCAGGTTTTGGGTTATCCCAGCAAACCTATTGGCCTTTTCATACAAAGGTCTATAATATTCCGATCAGATTCAAATGGCGAAGATCTAGAAGGCTACGCTGGCGCTGGACTTTACGACAGGTGTGTTTTGGATTAAGATATTCAACTCGATAATCTTTATTCTTTCCTTACTTGAAAAGTTTGATTATTGAATAAACAAATTATGTTCCTGATTGAAATTCATTGCAGTGTCCCAATGGATGAAGAGGAGAAAGTTGTCCTCGACTACTCCACGGATCCATTGATCGTTGATGGAAGCTTCCGGCATTCGATACTCTCCAGCATAGCTGGCGCAGGAAACGCAATCGAGGATCTTTACGGCTCGGCGCAAGACATTGAAGGTGTTGTGAAGGATGGGAAAATCTACGTGGTCCAAACACGACCCCAAATGTGATCTCAGAGATATACATACAGAAAACAAAAATAAGGTGACACCATCTCAGCCACCCTTCTTCTACATGCTGTTATATATATATATATATATATACACACATATTATAGTCACTGCCTTTTCAAGAATATTTAAAAAAGAACCAAGTTGGAATTATGAATATTGAATCTGCAGGAATCATTGTAATTGTACTAAGTATTACAAGATGTAACATTACGATTTATTACCATAATAATATTTGATTATTGAGGAAGAGGAGTGACATGATTATTTGATAAATATAGGATATAAACTATTAGTCTATATATATATATATATTGATTAGGATAGGATTGATTAATATACTAGTAGTAGTAGATTAAGCATTTAGATTATGATGATGATGATTGATTGGTAGGGAGGAATTAAGGGACAGTATGATTGATTGGATTGGCAATGGCTCACATACCATAATTGATGATGATGATGAATTACACTTGTTGTCGTTTGTATTGTGGGGAGAGAAAATGAAAAATACACACCTTTTAAGTTTTTTCATTATGTCTTCTATTGCACTCCAAATTTCTCTTTAATTATATAATATGTCGGTCTCTAAGAGTTTCATTTGCATGTTAATTTTTTAATATTAACTATTTATCAAAATTTAATAAAAATTAAAAAAAATTATAAAAATACTCTCATTAGTGTCTTATAATACTAACATAAGAATATTTGTATAAAAAATTATGCAAATAGCAAAAGGTAAATTTGACTGTTAGAGCAGGACGGATGGAGTATTTTTTTTTTCCGATTTTATCTTTTCATTTAATGAAATGTTATACTCCTTCCGTTCCATAACAAAATATCCATTTAGTAACTGTACTTTTTTACAAATACCCTTACAACTTACAATATATTACACAAATATCATTACCTTTATATCACACGTACTAATAATAAGGTTATTTTGGTTATTTCTACTTTATTTCTATTATATCCCAATATAATACTAATATACCTAAAACTAAGCGTAAAAAGTAATTGGATACTTATCAATGAGACGGAAGGAGTACTACTATTTTTATATACAAAAAAGCATAAAATATGTGGTATAATTTTTTGAAAAATAAAATAAAATTGGAAGAGAACTATAAGGTTCATTTTCACATTATTATTATTATTATTATTATTATTATTATTAAAATGGGCAAGAGTGAAAGGGGTTTGTTCTGGTCAAACAGATAAACAGAGGGTGGAGCCAAGCCATAATTCAAATTCTGCTGCCAATATATATAAAAAATATAGTAATAAATTCATTTTCCATACTTGCATGCATTATTATATCTTCACATAAATGTAGGTGTCTTTGGATGTGCTTTTAACTTTCTGTTTATTAGAAATAAAATTTGAATTATATATACAATAAAATAATTTTAATGTGAATGGAGATTAAAAAACATTTGGTATATTTATATATATTTCTTTATTAATTAAGTAAGTAGTTGAAAATATTAATGGCACATTAAATCCGATCTGCCCGCCACACCTATATATAATAATGATTTTAAGTATTATTATTTTTCTTGTGCTTTCACATTATTATTAACTCTTTGAAGTTGAATTATACTCTGTTTCATATCTATATATTCATTTATTTTTTTTTTGCATGAAATTTTAGAAATATTAATATTATATTGAGATAAAGTATAAATAAAGGTAAAAAAACTAAAGTATTGTATGATATAAATGTAATGACATTTGTGTAATATATTGTAAATTAGAAGGGAATTTATAATGTTAGGTAGATAGTACAATTACTAAAAAAGAAATAGATACTTTGTGATGAGACGAACCAAAATGAAAAAATGGATAAATTGTTGAGGGACGAAGAAAATATATAAGCTGGATTTGTTTACTTGTGTTTTTCCTTCTCACTCTTAATTAATTAATTTATTTATTTAAATATCACAAATAAATGAATTAATGAAAATCTAGTATGTGTTATAATATGAGTTTATATTTGTATTTTGTACTTAAATAATAATTTTACGTACATAAGACATGACGATGAATGTATACATGAATTAAATCATGAGAATTATATAATATTTTTTTTACAAAAAAAAAATTAAGATAAATACAACCCTAATATAGTACTTCATCTATCCCATGTAATTTGTCTCCTTTAGTTTAGGCATGTAATTAGTAAGTAATTAATAAGTATAACAGTGAAAATAATTATAATTTAATAAAAATAATTACAAGATTAAGATAACTAAATAGTTTAATTAAAATTAAAAAAAATTATAAATTATGAATTTTAAAATATAATTAAAGTATATAATTATATTTCCAAAAAAAAAAATGACAAATTATATGTCACAGACTAAAATAGAAAGATGAAAAAAATTAAGTAAGATGGACAATAATAGAATAGATTATATATTTATGAATGATTTTGAACTACATAATATAGTACCATCAAATAATATATTCCCCCTCCCTCTCCCATAAGAAACATATTATTTTTCATTTTTGTCGGTTCCAAAACAATGATACTATTTCTTAATTTAGTAATTGTAATAACTACCTAACATAATTAATACACTTACAAATTTCAATATATTACACAATGTCATTACTTTTATATCACACAATTTAATAAGGGCATTTTTGTCATTTTCACTATAAACCAATATAATAGTAATATTAAAAAATTTACATGCAAAAAAAAATATTACCGATTTCATAGGACAGAGGTACTATATTGTTGTTTGAATTAATATACTTCATATGTTCCTTAACAATCTATCTATTTTTTCATTTTGGTCCGTCCCATAACAAAATATCAATTTTTTTCCGGTAATTGTACTATTTACTTAACATTACAAATATCATTCCAATTTATAATATATTACACAAATATCATTACTTTTATGTTATATATTTCAGATTAATCTTTTTAGCTTTATTTCTATTACATCTTAATATATACTAATATTTTTTTAAAAAAAAAAATTTAAAAAGAACAAACGGATAGCTAGATATAGGATAGTATATTCTTTCAAATGCATGGCAAGTATATATATAAATAAAGGAGTAGTTAGGGTATTAATTTAATATTTTATAAAATATATATATATATATAGTATATGTTTATTCAAAATTATACTAATAGAATAATAGTAATTTTATTTCAAATAACACCCATATATAAAAGTACATAAATGAATTTAAATGCAATTTATTACTAATAATTGATGACAGTTTAAAAATAGGTAGCATAGTATGAAAAACAAAAGTTTAATCCCATTTGGAAGTAATAAAATTGTTTGAGGGCACTCATCTAGTAATTTTTTTTTGGTTCTTATTTGATCCAATTCAGTAACTATTACTCTCTCCGTCTCAATACAATAGTTTTGTTTATCATTTTTGTCCGTTCCAAAACAACAGTCTTATTTTCATAAATAACCATGTCACCATAAAACTACCTCTACTTTTTCATTTTTATTACACAATTGCCACTATTTTTTACACTAATACACTCACAAGGGCAAAAAAGGTCTTTTATCCAAACTTTTTACCAACTACCGGTATAATCTCAACCCAATTAAGACTATATTTATGGGAAGGAGAGAATATTTTTTTATTTTCTTTCATTTATTTTACTTTTCAAATATCATTATTAATTTTAATTAATATTTATTTTTTTAAAAGAAATTAAATTAATAACTTATCAAGTCACTATTGAACATTTTGTTACTATGTGCCATATTTCTCGACCAACTTTCTTACGACAACTTACTTTGCAATAAAAACAAAAGGTAATTTCACATGCATGTCAACCAGTGACGTATCTAAGGAGGGGCTTGAGAGGATAAGCCTTGGCCCCCAAATTTTATTTACTTTTTTAAGTGTAAAAATAATTATGTTAATTTTCTTTTCAAAATGCTAAATTATCATTTTATATATATATATATATATATATTCGTTTGTTACTACTGTGACAGATAATCGAAAAATACAATATCAAATCACAATATTTAACTCATTTGAACTCAGCACAAGGTCTAAGAAAAATATATTTTAATAATTAAAAAATATATAATAAAATTTGTGGTATTTATTGTAATAAAATATTAAATAAAAAGTTAAATATTGATTTTTTTTACTTTTTCAAATGTAATAATTGATAAATTTAACGGACAAATGAAAAAAATAATAATAATAAGAGACAAATGAAGTAGTATTTAGTTTTCATACAAAAATACTTTGTTCAACTATTTTTTATTTTTTATTTTTAATTACAAAATAAAAATAAAAACAAACCCAAAGGGGTATTATTACCTCGGTTTCAAAATATTTGACGTGTTTGATTAGTTATATTGTATTCAAAGTAATTGAATTTAATAAATTAATGATAATAAATCATGATATTATTTTACTCAATTCGTGATTTATAAAAATTATTTTATTCATTTTTTGCGTATCGATCTTGAACATTAATTATTAGTACTATATTAATATGCGGTATTATTTCTGACTAGCTTTAAGGATTACAATTTATATATATATATATTGATATTTGAATATTAATTATTATATACAACTACAAATCAGTGAAAAAAAAAATATAAAAATTTTTATATTAGTGTTTTATAATACTAATTTAATGATATTTGTAAACATAATTTAATAAAATGACACAAAAAATAAATGACAATTTTTTACGGGACAAAAATAATATTATTGATATTTTAAAATAAAAATTACTATATAACATGATACATTATACTCTCTCCGTTCCATAACTAAATATCTATTTTTTTCACGTAGTTTTAGAAATATTATTATTATATTTGGACGTAGTAGAAATGACTAAAATAACCCTATTAGTATGTATGATATAAATGTAATGACATTTGCGTAATATATTATAAATTATAAAGATATTTGTAATGTTAAGTAGACAGTACAGTTACTAAAAAAATCAAATAGATACTTTGTTATGTGACGGATTAAAATGAAAAAATAAATACTTTGTTATGGGACGGAGGAAGTATAATTTTATGTAATACTGTATAATATATTGTTATTTCAACACAATAAATGGATTATACAAGATAGCACAATATACAATTTCTACAATACATATTTCTACATAAAACAATATATATTATATTTTTTGTGATAAAATAATAATTACTTTAAATTAAATTAAATTAGTATATTAATTTGATGAAATAGTATGATGTTGACTTTATCCTAACTTCTGGCGTGGTTAATGATAACAAAGTGCATTATTAGGACAACTTATTTATAGTTTATAGCATGGTGTTTTTTTCTTTTCTTTTCTTTTTTTCGTTTAATAAAAATATAATCTCCTCATGTGGTCTAATAATTATGAGAATATACTTTATTTTGTTTTATTTTATTCCTAAAAAAAAAAAAAAAAAACAAAAAACATGATGTCTCCTATTCATAAAGCAGGCTAATAAGCCTTTTGCAGCTTTACAATATGCACTAACATGTATATATATATATATACTTACTCCGTTCAAATACAATAGTCTTATTTATCATTTTTGTTCGTTTCAAAACAATAGTCTTATTTCCATAAATAATTATATCACTATAAAATTACCATTACTTTTTTCATTATTATTATACAATTGCCCGTACTTTTTATCCATGTTAATATAATATCAATATTTTTTAAATCTCGTGTCAAGCACAAATCAGACTATAGTTCTGGAACGAGGGAGTATTATATACATATGAAAAAAAAAAAAAAAACTATAATCGAAATATATTTTCAAAATTTATACATTAGGTAATAAATGAATATTATCAATTTTGATAGGGAAAAGAAAGGGTGGTTAGAATTTCATTAAATTAAAATTTCAAATAATGAGCTACAACACAATAATAATAATAATAATTAAAATAAAATTATAAGAACGCATGCTCATTGCGCGTGTCTCCATTGCACTAATTATTTGGAAAAATGAAAACCCATTATTATTAGAAATTTTCTATAATAATTACAAGGCCCATAGAATTATCATTTTATTTACAATTATTCCCAAGGACAAAATTAATCTCCCTTTTAAATAAATTCATAAATAAAAGTTAAATATATATATATATGTATGGTGGCATCTACACTGTTACGAAAAGCATTGTACTCATATATGTTAATATAATATAAATATAACATATAAACTAATATTTCCTTCGGTAATACGGAAAAATTTAAATTAATACTAAAATAATTAAATAGTTTAATTAAGATTAAAGAAATTATAAAATATAAATTTAAAATATAATTAAAGTGTATAATCATAATTCCAAAAAATAAAATGACAAATTATGTAGTATAAGACGAAAATAAAAAATAGAGACAAATTACGTGGGAATGAGGGAGTAACGCATAGTATAACGAATGCACAACACTTAATTTTAATTAGCACATTGCAAACTCTTATACTCCCTTCATCCTAAAACTATAGTTTGTGTTGTGTTTGGCACGATATTTAAAGAATATTAATATTATATTAGTAGTTAGAGAAAATTACGGATAAAAGACTTTTTTGCTCTTATCAGTGTATTAATGTAAAAAGTAGGGACAATTGTGTAATAATAATGAAAAAAAGTAAAAGATAGTTTTATAGTGATATAATTATTTATGAAAATAAGACTATTATTTTGAGGACGACAAAAATGGTAAACAAAACTATTATAATGGGACGGAGGGAATATAATACATATGTAATCATGAACAACCAACTCATCTTTTTATTATACTTTGTGTAATAAAAATATGTGTCGTTTATATTATATATATATATATATTATGAGTATTAATTTACAAAATTTGCGATATGTTAAAATTTTCAAATCAGAATGGTAACATTCCCATGTATATATATATATAGAAGAAGATTTTGAAAAAAATCTACAGAATTCCCTGAATATGATTAATATTTCCAACACTAAAGGTTAAAGCTTCAGTCTTTGTACCGCAGACTGGAAACACATCCCCACCCCACCCCACCCCCGCCCCATATATGTATATTATATATATATGTATAGATACCTTCGGAAACCTCTGAAAATTCCACAGTCCACACAGTAATTCCATATTTGTCAGGAAAATCGTCAACATTCTAACAGCAGCAGCAGCAGCAGCAGCAGCTTAGGGATCTGCAGAAAAATTTAAGTGGATGGATTTGGATTTGGAATGTAGTAGAGAGTAGTGAATTAAGAATCTGCACCTGTTTCGATGTCTCCTCCAGGAAGACGAAGACGAAGACGACGATGCAGCTCCAAGAATATGGCTTCTTCTTCTTCTTCAGATCATATTATGATTAATAATAGTAATGTTGATGTTCTTATTCTGGTCGTCTTCTTCGTCTTCGTTTCTGCTACTGTTGAATCGACGTCAGAATTCAATCTTCTCAAAAACAACAGCAACAATTCTGAATTCATAGCTCTCATGACCACCATTAATAAGCCTTCTTTGAAGACAATTGAGAGCCCCGATGGAGATTTGATCGACTGTGTATTATCCCACGAACAGCCTGCCTTCGATCATCCCAATTTGAAAGGCCAATCTCCATTGGTACCTATACATACATACAGATTCATATCATATAATATCAATCCCTAATTATTAATTATCTACTACATATGATCATCAGGATCCACCCGACACCCCAAAACGACGCCGTTCAGGGACGACCACGTTGGAATTAGAAGAACCAGAAATCAATTTCCAAGTATGGAGAATGTCCGGCGAGTCCTGCCCGGAGGGCACCATCCCAATCCGGCGAACCTCCGCCGGAGATCTCCTCCGAGCATCTTCCCTCCGCCGCTTCGGCAAAAAGCTCCGCCGCCGACCCATTCGCCGAGACTCCACCTCCACCGCCCACGAGGTAATTAATTAGTTAATTAATTAAATTAAGAGCAAAAAGTTATTTTTGTCCCATTCAAAATTTTTTAGTTCCAATCAAATAAAAATTTATCAATTTTAATCCCAAAACAATTGACTGGAACCGAACACGGCCGTGTTAAATAACTCGGAAGGTGACTGGGCGTCCCAGACAGCCAACACGGACCGTGTTGATTACCCTGAACTTCTGAACACAACCATGTTTCTGCCCGTGTTCCCATGTTCTCAACACAACCATGTTCAAACTATGGTTGTAAACATGACTAGAAAATATGATTGTGTTGAGAACATAGTCATGAATATAGGCAGAAACATAGTTGTGTTCAGAATACGGAGATGAACACGGGCAGGAACACGGCATGTTCAGAAGTGTAAGGTAATCAATACGGCTATGTTGAGCCCAACACGGCCGTGTTGGCTGCCTGTGATACCCGTCACCATTCTCAGTCATCCAACACGGCAATTATCCTGTGATTAAAATTGATAAATTTTCATTTGAATAAGACCAAAATTGATAATTATGATATTGAACAGGACCAAAAAATAATTTTTGCTCTTAAATTAATTGATTTAGGATTTAGGGTTAGGGTTAGGGTTTACTACTTAATTAAATTTGAGTACATATGTAGACGATGAAGATTACTATCAATGGCAGCATGCAGTTGGATATGTGAGTGGAGAGAAATACTATGGAGCAAAAGCAAGCATAAATGTGTGGTCTCCAAAAGTAGGAAATCAGTACGAATTCAGCCTATCCCAAATCTGGGTTATTGCTGGCTCCTTCTCCAACGATCTCAACACCATTGAAGCTGGTTGGCAGGTCTGCATTCATCATCATATTCATAAAAATGATCAATTCATTTAATTTGGTTCATCAATTAGTTAAGTTAGAAGTTAGATGTTAGAACCAACTACCACCCCACCTAGCTTCAATAATTATATACAAAATTAATTAATTGTTCATATCTACTACTACTACTTACAGGTGAGCCCAGAACTTTATGGGGACAGCTCTCCTAGGTTCTTCACCTACTGGACAGTAAGTTTCATTTATTTTATTTTATTTTATTTTATTTTCCATATATATATATATATATATTTTATTTTTCATATATATACTATTTATCTCTCACTCATATAAAAATAATAATAATAAAAAATTGTGTTTGTAGAGTGATGCATATCAGGCAACAGGATGTTACAATTTGCTGTGCTCAGGGTTTGTTCAGACCAACAACAAGATTGCAATTGGGGCTGCTATTTCACCTATTTCATCCTACAATGCTGGCCAATTTGACATTACCTTGTTAATTTGGAAGGTCATTTATTTAATTTAATTAATCACTTTCTTTAATTTTTTTTATTTTATTTTTTATGACTCGCTATCCGAAAGTGCGCAATGAGTTTAATGAATCAAGAAGTTGCTTATAGATATAAGTATATATATCAAAGGCCATGATTATATATCCTCTGTCTATTACTTCCTCCGTTCGTCAAATTTACTCTCACTTTTCTTTTAGCAAAATCAACAAATCCACGTTTAACTATTATCTTCCGTTTAACAATTATTTACAACAAATGCCACTACTTTTATTACATTCTCTCTTCGTTTTCTTTAATTTCTAACTAAAATTTTAAAAATATCTTCAATTACTTTTTTACTTCTATCGTTTTTCCAATAAAATATTTATTTTTTTTAATTTCTGTGTTGGGTTCAAATGTTCTAATTTTAGTGGACGAAGGGGTATTTCTCATCAAGATTCATTTTTTAAGGGACCATTTTGTTTAATGTAATTTAATTTCTCTAATTTCATTAAATTGAATATTAATTTTTGTTTGTTTGGTTAAATATTATAGGATCCAAAACATGGGAATTGGTGGCTGGAGTTTGGGAATGGGGTATTAGTGGGGTATTGGCCATCTGTATTATTTACACATCTGAGGGAGCATGCAAGCATGGTCCAATTTGGGGGTGAAATTGTAAATACTCAAAGTTCGAGCCCTCATCACACGTCAACCCAGATGGGCAGTGGCTATTTTGCAGGAGAAGGGTTCAGAAAAGCTTCTTATTTCAGAAACCTCCAAGTTGTGGATTGGGATAACAATTTAGTCCCTCTCTCAAATCTTAGGGTTTTGGCTGATCACCCAAATTGCTATGATATACAAGGAGGGATTAATAGGGTCTGGGGGAACTATTTTTACTATGGAGGCCCCGGGAAGAATCCCAAATGCCCATAATTTTAGTTTTATTTTTATTTTATTTACTTTTTTTTTTTTTTTTTTTTTTCATTTTATAAAAGTTGTGAGTTATAATTTAATTGATTTTAGAGTCTGGAATTTGGATGTGATTTTAGATTTTTTGTTTTTTTTTGTTTTGGGGTACTTTTTTTGTATTGTTGGATTATTGAATGAGTGATCCATCATTTATACCATTTTGTAGGGGCTGTATTGTAACCTTTCTGAAATTGTTAGTACATATCTTAAATGGATTGTGCTGTTTTAATTTAATATTTTAAATGTAAAATAAATTTTTAATATAATATAAAAAATAATAATAATAATAATAATAAATTTTTACATCGTAAAACTCTTTGATAAAAGAAAAAAAAAACACACAACTTTCAATAGTCAATACCCTAGTCCTAATTTAACAATTTTTTTCCCCTTTCTATTAAAAATTAAATATAATTAAATATACACAGCATATATAATTTCAACAACTTCGTATATTGTGTTTGTGTATATCATCATTACAGCCCATATAGAAAATGAAAGATTTTAGGTCACAATCTACAAAATATTAAATCAAAAATATATTGTCCAAAACCTTTATATTTCATTTAGAAAAAAAGAAAACAACTACAAATAAATGCCAAACATCCAAACACTCTAAGCACAGACAAAAACACATCCAAAAATTTCTGGGCAGAAAAAAGTGTGTTAGCTTTCATACAAGCATCAATCCATCTCATTTAAAAAATCTCACTTATATATATATATATATATAATAAACAAAACAAATGATAAAAATACTAACAAGCAAATGAAATTCTGCACCAAAACAACTACGACAAGTTTCGATAATAGACGACGTAGCAGACACAGCAAATTATATCAGATGAAAATAACTTTTCGTACAGTTTACATCGATCCCAAGCCAGGATAGGGTTACCTTCTTGCACAAATGGAACAACGAACAGCTTCATGTAAAAGTCGAACAAAGAGGCATAGTTGACTGCCGGACATTGAGCAATCAAATAAGCCTCAGCTCATATTCACCGGCAGTTGTTATGTATCTCACCCATGGAAGAGCCTGATACCCACTCTTTTCAATGATTTTCAAGTATCGAACCTACAAATCCAGTTTTGAATCAGTAAGGTTACATACTTTTTATCCATACAAAAAGCTGCTGGAGAACCAATTAAGAATCTAAAGGGTAGGCATTGCATCTTCTCACAAAAGTAGTAAGTAGAATTAAAGTTGCAGAGAACAAAGACATATTTGGCCATTTGTAAAAATTTGTTTACATGCTATGCAGCTTATCTTCATATTGAATTTGGGTCAACTATTTTTTTAATCCGTAAGTGGACTCATTTATCATTTTAGTCTAGTAATTGGAGCATATTGTAAATTAGTCTTTGTAAATGAAAAATTTTGACAATTTAAATCCTCTGGCGTCGGAAATGCCTACGTGGGCACCCATGTGGCTCGCCGGAGGACACGTGTCCGCTAAGTCAGTGACACCTGACGGACACATAGATTTTTAATTTTAATTTTTATAAAAAAGACCAATTAAATAATTTTTTTAATAAATAAATAAATCCACGTGTCCGAGTGTTCTTCGGCGAGCCACGTAGGCATTTCCGACGAAATCGGAGGACTAAAAATGCGAAATTTTCCAACTTACGAGACCGACAGACTCCAATTATGGGACTAAAATGATAAAGATCCACTTTCGAAATTTATATATCAGTTTACCCTATTGAATTATTGCACAACTTTATCGGAAAAATAAAAATATTAAATGGAGGATTAGAAAATACCTCCCAATAATAAGCTCTTCAAGATATGCTATATAGAATACAAATTTTTTTCAACAATAAAAGTTTCACACTATTTGCTTGTGCTGTCAATTCTATTTAGTTTCTTCTTATGTTCTTTAGGCTACTTATGTGCTAGCTTTAAGAAAATCAAAATCAGACTCGAGAGAAATGACGAACCATTTTTCAAAAAGCGTCAAGTGTTAAATGATTGGTGTCTCACCTGTATTCCAGAAACAGTAAAATAGGGAATTTCAAATTTCACTCGAATAGGAGCTTTCCTCTCCGGGGTTGAATCCTCGGATGTTATACTGGGAAGCCTAAACTCCGCTCGTAACATATACTCCTGAGAAGAAAGGCAAAATGAATGACCTGCTAACATGACAAATATAGTTTTTCTGTCTACATACCGCAACATACAGGTAATGGAACAAACATCAGGCCAGCCAACTCATACCTTACCACCTGGGAATGATTTAATTTTCCAAACTAATGCATCATTTTCAGGTGCATAAGAAGCAGATCCCATTGACGTACGGACGTTTGGATTTGTAGCATCAGGTGGTACAGGCAACTCAATTTCAACATTAGTTGCAGTGCTGAAATTCAAGCCGGAAATCAAGTTAACAATCCAAAACATTGTCCACCCCGAAAAGAAGCATTGCAGAAGCCAAATTATGCGAAGTAAACCAATAAGTAAAATACCTCCGCTCCTTGAACTGGCTCCTAGCTTTAACCATAATCTCTATGCGGCTCCTGGAATGTCTCTCGACTTGAGCCTCTACCCATATCAGAGGCTTTACCTGAAAGAATGCATAATAAAGATTATCTCAGTCATCATCCCTTTCGAACAGTCAAGTTTCAGTTGTCAGTTTTCAATATGTTAGCTACTTCAAAACACCATAAATTTCTTCAAAACTATCCTCACTTATATATATGGATACACAAAATTCAAATTTCAACAATCAAATCCATATTTTAGTTCAAACATTAAATATCTGGTAAGTTTAAGTTGCAGCCTAAGTTGCAAACAAACAAATTTCTAGTATTTTAATGTTTTGAGAATTTTGCACCAACATTAATTTTGTCCATTTAGTGACATTACTAGTTTTACCAAACTTCTAAAAAAAGCTTCAATTATTTACAAAAGTTGTCGCAAGATTTTGTTTCCTTACACTTTTAGGGTTTGTTTGGGGGATTGGATTTTAAATACACTATTCATCCCATTTCCTCCCCCCCAAAAAAAAACATCAAATCAAACCACCTATTTTTCATTTTTTATATTATACTAAAAATCAATTTTACATTCAAAACATCCCATCAACACCTATTTATATCACATCGGACAACTATTCAAATTCAAAAATTTTATTATTCAAATCCCAACTCAAAATCCAAACCCCCAAACAAACACACCCTTACAGCCAAATGTGCAAACAAACAAATTTCAAGCAACTTAATATCTTCCAAAAATTGTAGCAAAACAAATTTTGGGATTATTTGTGAAATACCAAATTATATTTCAAAAAAGTTTCAAGAAACTTATAATACACATCCATATTGCATTTAAAGATATACATTTATATACCATGAAAACCAATCAGTAGTTCAGTATGTGTATATCAAATCACATTATCGAATTATTATATGCGCTTTAATATATTTGAAAAATAAAGGGAATTTTTTTTAAGACATACACTGCATTTTCATTAGTCATTTTATTTAACTTTGGGAAGACAATACCCACACAATCAAAATAAGATCCAAGCAAACTCATCTTATTGGACAAATTTAATATCTTTGGATTTCTAAATATTCCCATAAAATCCTTGTTTACTTGAATATTTCTTACATGAAGATAGCCATATTTGCAAGCTTTCACTGTAAAAGGGAAATTTTAAGTTAAAAACAACAAAGTTGTGATTTGTGAAAACAACTAAGAAATAGGGACACATTTTTTAAATCCAAATTTCCGCACCAACCTGAGTGCTGAGCCTGTAAGTCATGAGATCAAAAGATCCATCGGGGGGTATGAAGGATATTGTACGGTCATTTTCAAATCGAGCCAGACGTACACACCTGAATCAATAACAAGTCAGGATAAATATAATGTCTTAAAGCCTATGCTAAATATGTATTTGAGTATACACTCACATATTAATGCACAAAAATGCACAAATAGAGTGGATGCATGCATGCAATATTATCATTCTCTCAAGCATCTTCTACAAATTTTTAAATGTAACCGATAGGTAAGGATATTGAACACATTATTCATGGCATGAAATATAGTTCCAACATCAATATAGATAATGGTTGATATCATTAAGATCAATGGCATACTGATGAAACTTGATGTCATCCAGATCAATAGCTTTTCCCTTAGTAGCCCGGCCTTGTGCCTCCAGCAAAACTCTATCGTTTAGGCCAAGCTTACACTCAGGCATACCACTGTAACAGCAAGGATTAGTATCAGTACCATAAGAAAACCAACCTATATTTGCAAAAACTAGCTTCCATTAGTAACCTATTTAATTTTGACAATTTGGAACAAAAATTTCTCTAACAAAGCCAAACAAGGAAAATCAAACTGTCAACAAGCTGAAAGCATTATTAAAAACTCGTGTTAAACAAATAAAAAATGGAAAGTTGTGAGTGTTTGGATTGAACTAGAATCACTTAATACCATGATCACGAAAATAAAAAAATCCTATCACATGACACTTGCATATAACCTGCAACTAATCACTTCAACTTCTTCTAAGCAAGATCGCCAAAAAAACATAGCATGATGAACCTAGAAACTAGCAAGGCACCAAGTAGGAAATAACTAATGCACAACTCCAAATGCACCCGTATCATACATGAAAACAAAACAAAAAATAATACTGTTGTAGCAACATTCCTACTGCTTTTTTTGGATAAACTGGAGTAATGTAAAATTTGTAAACAGCATGAAAACAAACCTTAAGTATGTCCGCATCTTTAATGCACCAACAACATCGGACCTGATTATTTGACCATTGCTATTTACCAGGATATTGACACTTTCCACAACATCAAGAAAGACCTGGATGATCAATGTTCACATTAATAACACTAACGAGTCAAGACTAATCAAACTTAACATCAGTCAAGAAAAGCCTACTTCATTTTTCTTATATTGTATCCCTTCACTGCGCCATGATACTGCATTTGTAACTGCCATTGGTGGCCTCTGTGCAACTTCCATTCTGTAAGCATCGGTCTTTATGAACTCACTAAGAATCTTGGCTTCAGTATATTGTGGGTAGCCGAAGTCCATAATTTCATCAAGCAACTCGTACTGAATTGGTGAAGTAAAAGTTAACAGCCATTGAGTCCATTAAAAGCATGATTCTCTTAACATTCATAAAAAATAAGCCCAAACAACACCCATACCACTACAACAAAATTGTCTCTAAGTGATTCCTCTTCTAATTCTTCAAAGTAGTGCTTGAAGACCTGTCATAGCTCATAATGTTTCCATGAAACAGTAGTCAAAATATTCAGATGGTTCAGAAAGAAACCCCTTGGAACAAATTTTATATATATATCAGTAAATAGGTATTTGATTACCAAATAATGCTTACATCAACTACACGGTGTAGGAATAGAAGAAGACTGGCAGCATTGCAGTTCTGGCGCGATGCAGTCATCAAATACACATTATTATGTTGTATAAACATATATGTGACTCCATTATCATATACAACAGGATCCTGAGAATTCGGATCGCCCTAAATCGTCATAAAAACATAAGGATCGTCAGTCATTCAGTTCAGCTCAAAACAAGATTGCCAAGAACATGTCTATGATTTAAATGACAAATATGCATATATATATATACACACATACACACATGATGCCCTGGACATAATTCGTACAAGTTTGATAACTACAATTTGTTGTTTCTTAGCAGCATACATTTCTTACATAAGTTCTTGCAGAAAAACCATGTTCGAATTCAAAGCAAAATAAATAACTTCTTACTTAAAACACACAGGTTGAACAAGTTGGTGATCCAGATCAGGAAGTACAGCATCATTGTCCATAACCTTAAACTCTTTATTCCCATTATTTCCAATACAAATGAATAACGAAAGAACAACATGAAATATTCCCCTTGGATCTAACCATATTAGATAAGCTTTCAATCACTGACTACAAATTCATACAGGTTCCAAAATTCGGAGCACAATTCTTATCAAACGAACGTTCAAGGAAACAAGTTAACTCAAACCAAAACCGAAAAATTAGATCGAGCTCAAACTTCACACACAAGCCTCCTGTCCAACAGTTGCTCGAAAACAAAAAAAAATAAAATGAGTCGAACCTCAGCTTTCAAAGAAGCTCAATGCAACCATAAAATTCATCCAAACAATTAAAATCAGTACGCATTAAACCGTATGAAGAAATTCAACCTCCTTCTCAATAAGTTTGGCAAAGAAGCGCTCAGCTTGAGCGGCGGAGACATCTCCACGGTAGTCGCGCCACACCAAAACCTTGCCCTTTATATCCAATAGGAACAGCGCCGACGCTGCTCCCGCCATACCTTTGTCTCCGAATCAATTGATCCGAAATCCCAATCGGATGTGGCGATCGCAGATCCAAAGCCAACACAGTACACAGAGGGTGAGATCCACAGGTCAATTTGCGAGAAAGCTGAAATTTCAGTTGCATAGGGGCCAATCTTCCACCATTCTGCTCTGCCACCATAAACTTCTTGCCGATCGATCGATTTGTGAATTTCAGCTCTCCCTCTTTCTTCTTCCCCTTATTTCCTAATAATCGAAAAAATAATAATTAAAATTATAAAATTATTGTTGCTGAAATTAATTATTAATTTTTTATTGAATCATATTAAAAACTAGTTGGGCCTTCATCCAGCCCATTAGGCCCAAATAAAATCAGATACTTTATTTTTAGTTTTAGGCCCAAACTTTTAATTGTATAGTGCACGGCCTTGTTTCGATACAAATATATGATCCATATATACTTTTTTGTGCATCCAAGGGTTTGACTTTTGTCTGACAGATTTATTCGTAGTTTTCATCTTAATTGGTTGACTAAATTTATTTTATTATTAATTTTTTATAAAATTAAAAAATTTAACATTTAATCATTATTTTTATTTAATATTTATTTATAATATATAATATTATTTTTATTATATTTTTTTTCTAATTAAATTTATTACTATACTTTCAACTATTTTATTATTATTATTATTATTCTAATAAAATATTTTTTAAATTCAGGGTTGAACCCAAGTGTAATAATTTTACAGAAGAGATTCAGTCATAAGAATTTTCAATAAAAATATAATATTTTTATCAAAATATCATTTAAATCAAAATTTTTAATACATTCGATCTAAAGATTTGTTTCTGTTTGATTTAAAAATTAATTTAAATAATATTTTAATATAAAATTTCATGAGAAAAAATAATAATTTTTTTTATTAAAAACTCATGAATTACTATTATGTTTTTTATTAAATAAATATATATTGAAATATATAGCAATTGTTCTTTTAGTGAAATTTGAACATACATTTTTTTTAAAAAAATAATATTATATTTAACATATTTCTATTATTTTTACATAATCTATATATTGAAAGGTATACTTTTAATTGAGAACAAAAAAAAATAATAATAGTAATAAGCTCTTGATTTTATTCCCTTTGAATTATTTTTTAAAATTATTAAACAATATGACAAATTTTGTATACAATATATATTTTTATTTTATGAAATGATATGACTGTATATGCTTTTAATTTTTGTATTATGCATATTTATCAATAACAACAAGCTTCTACAAATTCTCTAAATTTTTTTTTAAAAAAAAACATTATAACAATATTTGTTTTCAATTTCCAATAAATTACAACAAAAACAATTAAAAAAATATAATCTATAGTAATTATTTAAATAAAAAAAAAAATCAAACAATCCAAAAAGAAGATACCCTTATTTTATTCAATATATCTTTTTATAATTATTTATTTTATTGTAAATTGACAATACATTAAAATTTGTAAGGATCAAAATCAATTGTGCCCCATGGATATTAATATCCTCAATAGCTATTTTATGAATATTAATTTATTTCCAAAATAAATATATGTCCATGCCAATATGCCATGGGCCACCACCTTTAGCAATGGACAACTAAAGTATTATTTATATCAAAAATAAAAAAATAAAAAATAAATAATTGATTATAAATTAATATCTAATTCTAGTGAAAGACTTTACCAAATAAATATAATTTTTTCTTTATGCAATAACTAAAATATAATTGTACTCAAATATTTTTTACCAAATAAAATAGTGTACTATACATTTAGAAAATAGATATTGTTAATTATTTTGCTTGGTTTATCTGTATATTATATATATATATATATATATTATATTATAGATATTGTTAATATTTTGTTAATATAAACCTAAAACAAATACAAGAAAATACACTAGAACCATAATAAATCAAGTGGTGCTCCATGCAACTGCTAAATATATATTTCCATTAAATAATAAAATGATTTAAATTGGATAGTGATAATTATATATATAAATTGTTGCTATTATTATTATTATTATTATTATTATTATTAGATGAAATGGTAATTAAGGGTCATGTATTTACTCGTAAGATTTTGGTTTTGAATAGTAAAATTTTGAATTGAAATAGTTATTTGATGTTATAGAAATATGTATTGATGCGATATTTTAAATCTAAAATTTAATTTTTATGTAATATAATAAATAAAGAAAAAATATTTAATTTAATATTTTTAGGGAAAAAAAATTTTAAAATAGTAAAATCGAAAATTAAATATTACAAATAAATACAAGTTAGAAGATGTGAATAACAAAATAAACGATGAATGAAATATATATATATATAAGAGATATTAAACAATAAAAATTAGGAGAAAAAAAACCTGAAAAAACAAATCATACTATTAAACATTAATAAATTCACTTTGTTTTAAGATTTTTTTACTTGAATTTTAATATAAATAATATTATGATCCGATATTTTATAAAAGAAAATAATATATTTTGATTAAATGTATGTCAAAAAAAATGACGTACTTTTAGGGTGTGTTTGTCAGAGGGTTTAGATTTTGAGTTGAGATTTGAATAGTAAAAATTTTGAATTTGAATAGTTGTATGATGTGATGTTTTGAATGTAAAATTGATTTTTAGTATAATATAAAAAATAAAAAATAGGTGTTCTATTTGATATTTTTGGAGAAAAAAAATGAGATGAATAATATAAATCCAATCCAATCTCTCAAACAAACACACCCTGAATAATAATATTTTATTTTATTTTTTTTAATAAAAAAAAACACCTATATATACTGTAAATAATGTATATGTTTTTTAAAATGATGGACTACATGGTGTATGGTAAATTATTAACTTGATAGTTGTAAATATTACTTCTTTGGTTTCAGTTAATTTGTTCACTTCATTTTAGGCTTCGAGTTTTAAATATTATGTAATCAGAAAGTAATTAAGAAATATATTAGAAAAAATAATTATAATTTAATAAAAATAATTATAAATTAAGATTAAAATATCCTTATATTTAATACATTTTTGTACAAATATCATTATATTAATATTATAAGATATTAATAAAAAGTAATTTTATTATTTTTTCTTAATTATATTATGTTTTGATATAATAATTAATATTTAAAGATCAACACAAAAATAAATAAATAAATAAATGTAACTTTTGTATAGGACAAAAGTAATACTCCCTCCATTTGCTTTTTGTACGTAATTTTAGAAATATTAGTATTCCCTCCGTCCCACATACCTTGTCTGCTATACTGTAGACACGGTATTAGTGAAAATAATTATTATATAATATAAATAATTATAAATTAAGATTAAAATAACTAATTAGTTTAACTAAAATTAAAAAAATAAAAAATTTAAAATGAGATTAAAGTGTATAATCATTTTCCGAAAAAAAGAAAGTGATATAGTATATGGGACGGACATAAAAGGCAACGTGAACATGATATGTGGGACGGAGGGAGTATTATATTGGGATGTAGTAAGAATAAAATAGAAATGACTAAAATAACCATATTAGTATGTGTGATATAAAGGTAATGACATTTGTGTAATATATTGTAAATTGTAAGGGCATTTGTAAGATTAGGTAGATAGTACCGTTACTAAAAAAAATAAATACTTTATTATAGGACAGATTAAAATAAAAAAAAATAGATACTTTGTTATGAGACGAAGGGAGTATGATATTGATTTTTTTCATTTAACACATTTAAAACATATAAGCATCATAAGTTTGTGTGTTAAGATATTTCTGTTCTAACACATTCAAAGCATAAAAGTAACAAATTTTTTTACTTTGTTAAATAGAAACATATAGTAATTGTATTATATGAATATATTATTTGTATTGAATTGAAATATAAATTGTACTATCTTTCATTTATGACTGCACTGTTAACATAAAAAGTTTTGTTTCTCCAATAATTTTTTTTCGACATAATTTTCAATATATATATTTTATTTTTTTTACAAAAATCAGTATTCAATTTAAAATATATTTTTTTTTAATATTATTGATATAATTTTCTATACTTTATATTAAAAATAATTTTTAAATCAAAATATTCCATTCACCTCAGTTATTGTGTCATATTACCGTGGATATACGTGAATTTATGAATAATATACTTAATAAATAATTAAAAATGTATTAATAAAAATAATTATGGTATAATAAAAATAATTATAAATTATTATTAAAACAACTAATTATTTTAATTAAAATTTAAAAAATATTAAAATTTTAAAATGAAATTAAAATTTATAATTTAAAAAAAAAACAAATGACAAAATAAATGGATAGACGGACATACCACAGTTAAAAAAGCAATACAATCTATACTACAAAATAACATGTACTAAGGGTGTGTTTGTATAGAGGATTTTGAGGATTCATAGTGTTCACATGTAATTTTTTCTTTTTAAAATATTAAATTAAATATTTATTTTTTATTTTTTTAATATTATAGTAAAAATAAATTTTACATTCAAAACATCACATTAATTATTTATATGATGTACAACTGTTCAATCCAAAATCTAAACCCCCAAATAAACACACCCTAACACTTCATTTCATATATTGTTTGTGTGTCCTGTAAATTTGATATTACAAAACAAAAAAAAAAAAAAGAATAGAGGAAAGAAAAGAAAGCAAAATTGATTCCAAAGACTGGACCAGATAAGGAAAATCGATACCACAAAATAAGAAAAATTGCTACGAGAAGGAAAGAAAAAGTCGAAAATTATTATTCCTTGTTCGCAATCGCACCAGAGCCACTCTTCTTCCAATCCCATTATCCCAAACTCCAAATATGGCCCAAAATCTCCTACAAACCAATCCATCCAATCATCCATCCATCCACTGCTTCCACAGTTTCAGTGGCTGTAATGAATTCCTTGATTCCTCAAAAACCCATCCTTCTATTCCGCCACATAAATACAAGCGATAATTCGTAGGGAATATACCCCTACGTTTGTTATTTTACCGAGTTTCGTATGCGAAGAAAAGTGCCTTTTTTTCCTGTTTTTGACTGGTAAGCCACGCCGCTGTGGTACTGCTGAAGGAGAGCCCCACTTCGCATCCGGGGAAGGGGAGACCGCCACACTCCTCTAAGGTTTTCATTTTTAATTGTTAATTTTGTATGTATTTTCACAATCAGTGTGTTTTTATTTTTGTTTTTCTTCGTTTCCATCGAATTTGATTTTTATCGGTTTGCGTTTAAATGGGGATTCGTTCGCTCAATTATTTGACGGTTGTTTGCGATCTGCTGCTTCTGTGAAAAAATTGGAGACAGTTTACTGTAGGTCAGATTGTGTATATATATGTATTGTATGTATATACACACGCACACACGCAACGCCATGTTTAGGTTTATTCTGTGATTGAAGAGGGGAAAGAACAGTTCATGTTTAGATTCGAAGTGATTAAGTGAAGTGAGCTCACTACTCTGCTGCAAACAATGTTCAACCCTAATTTTTAAATGTAGGTTTAGATTTGGGGGAATTGTTAGGAATTGCATCATTCATGGAAGGTGGAGAGTTTTTTTGGATCTGGGGATGCTTGTTTCGACGATGCTTTTTAGGAATTTTTTGAAAAATTTACGAGTGATTGAATGCAGAAGTGTTCTTGGCGTTAGGTTTGTTAAATTACTCAAGCTTAGGATTCTATATTAGTATTTGTTGGTTTGTATGTAGTGTGTTGAGCTGTTTTTGGCTGCTTGGAATTGAATTTTTTTGGAGTGACAAACAGTTGTTAGTTTGGATATTTTGTATAGAGTTTACGCCTTTCGATTTGATGTTTTTGGACGAAAAAAGAAAAAAAAAAACTTTTACAGTAGAGTGCAGAGTGATGTTGAAAGCACAAGTGAACAAAGCCATAGATTCCTGATAGATTATTTGTCTGTTAGCATAACATCGGTGTATTGATAGTTATCACTCAATGTTTTGGCCCGGAATTAGCTTTGGTTTTGCTATTATTTGTTCTATGGCTACTTCCTAATCAAAAATCTCGAACTGAATATTCATTTGTGTTTTTTTTTTTTTGTGTATGATTCTTGGGCAGGGAGTTAGTTTGTATAATCTTGGTATTGATATTTGAGTCGTTTCTGGGGTTCGGATATTGAGTGGTACATCATGACTTCGAAGCCGTTGGACTATGAAAACTTGAACGAGAACATCAAGAAATGCCAGTATGCTGTCCGGGGTGAGCTGTATCTCCGAGCCTCTGAGCTTCAGAAAGAGGGAAAGAAGGTATATATTGAATCGTGGTAATAAAAATAGACATGAAAGGGCCTCCTGTTTTGCTTAAAAACCATTCTCGTCTCTGTTTTCTGCAGATTATCTTCACTAATGTCGGTAACCCTCATGCTCTTGGGCAGAAGCCTCTGACGTTTCCTCGCCAGGTTTTCAATTATCCTCTTTTATGCACGATTTTGTGGCTTTTCTTGTGGTTACTTAATGGAAGAATACGAAAAAAACAGGTGATTGCGCTCTGTCAAGCGCCGTTTCTGTTGGATGACCCGAACGTAGGCCTCATATTTCCTGCTGATGCCATTGCAAGAGCTAAACATTATCTTGGACTCACTTCAGGGGGTTTAGGTGCGAAAATTTCATATAATACGATCTTTATATACGCATGAATGCTATATTTACCTCAATAATGAATTGCTTTTGTAATCGATCAGGTGCCTACAGCGATTCGCGCGGCCTTCCTGGAATAAGAAAAGAAGTGGCAGAGTTCATCGAGAGACGCGACGGATATCCGACGTAAGAATGAGATAAAAGTATCTAGTGTTGTAATTGAAAACATTTAACTAACTTATTCCGACGCTTGTTCTTCGGCAGCGATCCCGAACTCATATTTCTAACCGATGGCGCTAGCAAAGGAGTGATGCAGATCCTGAATACGACCATTCGTGGCGCAAGCGACGGGGTAACGCTTTTCGGCGACTCGATTATTGTATCAAACTGTTAGCTCGATTGCGCTTGACAATGTTTTGTTCTCAGATATTGGTTCCCGTCCCGCAATACCCACTTTACTCTGCGACGATAGCTTTATTGGGCGGCTCTCTTGTTCCGTACTATCTCGAGGAGACTGCAAATTGGGGTCTCGACGTCAACAATCTTCGTCAGTCGGTTGCTCAGGCTCGATCGGAGGGAATCACTGTAAGCACCGCTTGAATGTTCCTTCTTGATTTGGTTCTCGATTTTATCGTTTTGTTTTTTTTTTGTTAGGTTCGAGCCATGGTGATTATAAACCCCGGGAATCCTACCGGGCAGTGCCTTAGCGAATCGAACCTTAAAGAAGTGCTGAATTTCTGTTACGAGAACAACTTGGCGTTGCTTGCCGACGAAGTTTATCAGCAGAATATTTACCAAGACGAGCGCCCCTTCATAAGCGCGAGGAAGGTACAAATACATACATATATATATACATACATATACTATGGTAAGTATACTTTTCTTGCAATTTTCGGATCCTAATGTTGTTTCGGGGAAAGGTTTTGATGGGCATGGGGCTACCGGTCAGCCGGGAGCTGCAGCTCGTCTCCTTCCACACTGTTTCGAAAGGCTATTGGGGCGAATGCGGGCAGCGCGGCGGGTACTTCGAGATGACGAATCTCCCGCCGAAGGTTTGCGTAATATTATTACATCCCCGATGGTTTTTAATCTCTGTGTACTAAATAGTTTCGTCGATCTGTTGTTGCAGACAGTCGAGGAAATTTACAAAGTCGCATCCATTTCACTCAGCCCGAATGTTCCCGCCCAAATATTCGTAAGTCAATGCTATATTTTTGTTCTATTGCGACATTGAGTTACTTACGACGTGAACGATGATTTCGATTTGCAGATGGGTCTTATGGTTAACCCACCAAAACCTGGAGATATATCCTACGACAGATTTGTTAAAGAGAGGTATGATTGATTTCTTTGTTCGAATGTATCGAATTTGTTCGAATGAAGATCTTTTGCTCGTTTTCGATTCCACTGCAGCAACGGAATCCTCGAGTCTTTGAGGAGGAGGGCACAAATCATGACCGACGGATTCAATAGCTGTAGAAATGTCGTCTGCAACTTTACGGAAGGTATGTAGCGAAATCGTATTTCTCCGTTCGAGCAATTGTTACGATGAAAAACGTGTTTTTTATAGGTGCCATGTATTCGTTCCCTCAAATTCGGTTGCCCGCGAAGATAATAGAAGCGGCCAAAGCTGCCGGGAAAGAACCCGATGTTTTCTACTGCCTCAAGCTTCTCGAAGCCACCGGGATTTCCACCGTCCCCGGATCTGGGTTCGGTCAGAAGCCTGGGTACGTATCGCCGATCTATCGATTTTACGTTGTTAAATGTTTTCAATCGAACACTCGTTCCAATACCGATGAATTATTCACTTCGATTCGATTCAGGGTGTTCCATCTGAGAACCACGATCCTACCGGCGGAGGAAGACATGCCGGAAATCATGGCCAGTTTCAAGAAATTCAACGACGAGTTCATGGATCAGTACGACGAGTACGCCGGCTACTCGAGAATCTAGATGGGTCGAGCTCGCGAGCTCTTTGTCGCTCGTCGTCGTCGTTGTATTTCATATGTTGCTATAACTGTATTAATGTCTACTGCTTGCTATTAATCTGTGTAAACTACATTTTACCCTCGTCGCGATTGTCGTCGGCATCGGAACTCTCTGCTTCTTACTACATGTGAATATATCGAAACTTAATTGGGACTCACCCAAAACTTGCCTGCAGGTAAGTTTAATTTCTTCTTCATTAACGACACAAACAGTCTTACTCGTGAACCCTAATCGACATTGAAGATTCAGGCAAAGCTCATGAGCTATTCCTGCCATGGCGGAAGGGTAGAAATGGAATTTCATATGAGGAATATGACGGCGGATGTCCTGATAAGGAATTTTTCACGGGCCCAATTTTTTTCCCCTCACGTCTTCCTCGGGTTCTTTCTTTCTCTCTCTAATTTTTTTTTCACTCTTTCTCTCTCTACTGAAACAACATTCAAACTCACTCTTCTTCTCAAAACCCCTTTTTGAAAACTTCTCCTCAAGAATAAGAATATATTCGCAAAAAAGACTGTCCCTTTGGCGGTGTATTTAAACACGGCCGTGTCGGAGGAATTAACTTCACGATAATAATGGAAGGGAACACGGTGGCCGTCGCCGGAATTAGAGTGCTGGCGCCGCTGAAGCCGATTTTGACGGCGAAGCCGCCGGAGATGGAGAAGCGGGAGGCGGAGGAGGACGACGATGATTACTACTGCTCGTCGACGACGACGACGCCGACCTCGGCAGGGTCGAGAATCCCGAGCAGGATCCTGCAATGCCCGCCGGCGCCGAAGAAGCGGAAGTCGGCGCCGGCGCCGACGACGACGAGATGCCTCTACGGCGGATCGCCGGCGGCGGTCGTTAAGGAGTTCTTCAATCCGCCGGACTTGGAAACGATCTTCACACGCCGCGCCGCGCCGGGACTCATTTAATTAAAAAAACCATAGCTTCTGTACCATACTGTATTAATTAATTATTCCCCAATTAGATTAGCTGCTTCCCGCCCGCCATTGTCGTCGTCTTCATCTTCATCTTCATCTTCATCGTAGCTATATATATATATAATTAATTTTAGCTTGATTATAAAAAACCTCACTGCTTTAATTTGTTTGTAGTTTAATTTTCTTATATATATATATATGTAAAACTGAATCTTGATTATTGATGTATTATATTCTCATGTACATGGATTAATTAATCTTCGTGTTCTTGAATTTAGGGTTTGAATTTTGATTTCTTGAGCAGCAAAGCATAATTATGACATGAAAGGTGAGAAAAATGGAAAGATGAGTTGACATGAGGTAAGGGATGAGGTAATAAAAGCCCTAATTAGGCCAAAAGCTACACTTCCTTTTTCAAATTTCTTTTTCTTGTGGATATATGAGATAAAGGCAAAGCCATGTAAGTAAGCTAATCAATAAGCTTCTAGTATGTATATATATATATATATATATATAATATTTAGTGCGTGAAAAATGAGAGAGGATATGATATGATGTCCCACCATGAAAAGCAATGTATTATGAATATTATTGTATTAGATTAGATGACAAAATGCAGGTGGACAAGAAATGGAAGATAAGGGAGATTAGAGAATCCTATGCTCTCTCTCTCTATATCCAATGCTCTCTCTCTCTATATATATATATGTATGTATATGATGGGGTGAATCAAGAATTGCCAATATATTAGTAGTGGGATTCCACTATTTGGGATTGAACTGAGCCATGATGATAGATATTCTTGATCATTCAATTTGATTGAGCTTAATCTTGCATTGCTTTGGTGGGCTTTTTTTTTTTTTTTTTTGTCTTATTATGTAATAAGATTAACTAAATAACATCACCATGGGGAGTGGTGTTTTTTGTGTGAATGATGAATTCTTGAATGGGAAAGTGAAAGTGGTGACATGGGCAAAGCTCATTCAATCAAATTTTTGAATGCCATAATCGATTAAAATTTATTCCCTCCGTGTCCTAAGTACCAAGTCTTGCCGTTTATGTCTGTCCCACATACCATATCACTTTCATTTTTTGAAAAATAATTATACACTCTAATCTTATTTTAAATTTTTTATTTTTAGTTTTTCTAAATTTTAATTAAACTAATTAATTATTTTAATATTAATTTATAATTATTTATATTATAAAATAATTATTTACACTAATATATTTTTAATTATCTATTAATTATATTTCTTCTAAAATATCGTGTCTGCTACCTTTTATTTTTATTTTTATTATTAACATTATTATTGTTGGGATTGCAGCTCACAGTCACAGTGTCAGCAAATGTTTAAGTTGGCATTCAGCGAATGAGGTCAACAAAAGGGGCTTTTGCAGTTGCAGGTGACACCCACGTGCCAGCAGCTTCCCTAACATCAAAATTTTGAAATAATACTGCGTCCGTCCAAAAAATAAAAAATTTATTTATATTTATTTTTTATATAAATTTTTAAATATTAGTATTATATTAATTTATAATTAAAAAAATAAAATTATTCTTATTAAATTGTGTAATGAAAAAGTAATAATATTTATATAATATATTGAAAATTGTAAATATATTAATTATGTTAGGTAGGCAATAAAATTACTATAAATGATGTTCTTATTTTAGAACGGAAAAAAATAAAAAATGATATCCATTCTTATGAGATTGAGGGAGTAATATTCTTGTGTATGTTTACATTTTTTTATTATTCTAAGGGCGTGTTTGGGGTTGGAGAAATTTGAATTTGGATTTGATTTTTATTTGAATTTTAAAGTGAGTTTGAATTTTGATTTTTTTGTGTGTTAGGTTTGGTTGGAATTTAAAAAATTTTGATATCATATTGATATGATGGATAATGAATAAAATAATATAAATATATATTAAATTTAATTGATAAAATTTATATTGTATTATTTTATTATGAATTTATATTATACCCAATATATATTTAAATTTTTATTTATTTATATTATAAAAATTTTATTCTTTACAAAATAACATATATATTGTATGTATTTTTATCATATAATTATAATAAATATTAAATCAATATAATATTTGAAAAAATTATATTTTTTTAGAAAAATAATATTGCAGCTTTCGCTGCGAGCTGCAACAATTATCGCTGCTTGGGGAGCCGGCCCGGTTTGCACAGTTATTTTGCCGAAACCAGACTTGCAGAAACATACTCTAAATAATTACTTTTATTTACTCCATATTAATTTTTTATTGTAAAAAAATATAAGTTAAATTATTATTATTATTATACAAATTAATTAATTTTAAATAATTTTTATCTATACACATAAAATGTGTTTACTTAATACTATTATATGAAATATTCATGTATATATTATGGGTGTAATTTTTTAAAAATATTATAGGTGTGTTTGTTTTGTATTTTGATATTTTTTATATAAAATATAAAAAAAAGTGTAAATAATATTAAAATAAAAATTGTGTAGTATATTTTTTTGAAAAAATTATATTAAAAAAATTTGTCATAGAACAAAACTTATATATTTTAATAAAAGTCAACACCGTTGTTTTATCTTTATATGCAGATTTTTTATTTAAAATCAATTTTTTATTTAAATTATATTTTAATGTAATATTTAAAAATTACAATATATTTTTATTAGTAGCTATATAAACTAAATAATAATTTTTTTTTATATTTTTAAAACAAAAACAAAATACACCCAGCATAATAATTTCATATAGAGCATACTTTAAAATAAAATATTTTTAAAAAAATATTTTATTATTTTTTATATAAATAATATTATTAATATTTTTAAATATTTTTAATATTATATCAATGAATAAAATAAAAAATAAAAAGATTTTGAATAAGAGAATCAAATGGTCGAGGGCTTTGCCACTAACTATATCGTCATTCTTAATTTACCTTTATATAGTAGGGTGCGTTTGTTTTATATTTTAGGTTAAAAATATTTATTTGATGTGAACTATAAGAAATTATATAGATAATATAAAATAATAAACGTGCGTACTACATTAATTTTTTAAAATAAATTTATTGAGAATTTTCGGTTGAAAAAATAAATCTTTATTCTCTCTTTCATATTCATATATATTTTCTTCCAATAAAAATTATTTTACAAATTTAAAATAATTATTATGTACAATAAATATTAATAATATTTATATGTAGAATATTTAGTTTTTTAAAAAATATATGTTCATATTTTTAATAAAAATAATTATGTTAAAAATAACAAAAGTAAATTATCTAATAACATTTTCAATACTTATAACAAAAATTCTAAAAATCTTACCCACCAAAAGAATACAAATAAATATTTTTAAAATAAAATATAAAGAGTTCTTAATTGTCATTTTTCTTATATATTATTAAAAATAAATAACTATTATACTAAACAGTTTAGCAAAAATAATTAATATATTAATTAGTCAAATTCACTAATTTAATCAGCTAATATCTAGAAGATAAAAACTAATCATTAAATATCCAATAATTAAATTAATTTATATTTATTAAATATATTTAAGATAAATTTATTTAAAATATAAATATATCAATAGTTTATTATAATTTGTATTAAGTTATAAATTTATTATTATTATTATTTTATCAGAGAGTTATAATTTTATTATCAAAGTATTGTAATTAAGATATGATATTATTGAAGAATTGATTTTATCATTAAGTTGTAAAACAAAAAATGTTATTATGGATATAAATAATAATTTTATTTTCATATTACATTTAATTATAGAAAGAATTGAGTTTTTTTTTTCTTTGTTTTTATGAATATTTAATTTGTAGATATGTATTGTATTTTATTTTTAAATAAATATTATTAGTATTTACTATTCAAATAAAAATCAAACAAACTTATGTTACATAAGAATATTTTTAATTTAGAAATAAAAGTTTAGCTCATTTTATATATAAATAAATAGTTTACTATTTATCATAATTAATCAAGTTCTAAACACATCTAAAATATATGTATAATTTATATATATTTTTTTAATTGATGTTATTCATAATAAAATAAATTGTTATTTTAACATTATATTCTTTTATTTATATTACATTTTTATTCAAAATATATAATTTAAATAATAATTTATATTATTTGAAATTTGTAAAATTATTTTTTTAATTTATTTTAAATGATAATTTTTTTCTTTAAAAAAAATAATTGTTATTTATTTAATTATTACTTAATTTTGTAAAAAAATTATTATTTTGAAACTTATTGAAATATTTAAAAATAATACAAAATTAATAAAAAATTCTACAATAATGTATTTTAAAATAACTAACAAACTTTTGTTGATTGCACTTTCCCGGCTAGTGAAACTTAAAATGCAAATTATGTTACTGTTATGAGAGGGAAGAAAACAAAATCTAAAATATAAATAAATAGAAATTTAAATTTTATTCTGTAATATAATTTAGGTAAAATATAATTAGTAAATAATTAAGAAATATATTAATAAAAATAATTATATATTAAAATTAAAATAAATAAATAGTTTATTTAAGATTAAAAAGTTATAAAATTTAAACTTTAAAATATAATTAAAATGTATAATTATATTTATAAAAATATGAATGACAAGTTACGTGAGATAGACGAAAATAAAAAATAAAAATAAATTATATGAGATGGAGGGAGGGAGTAATATAAAAAAAATATAATAATAATATATAGATAAATAGAGAGACATTTTTTATATAATAATAATAATAATAATAATAATAATATATGTATGTATGTATGTATAGATGTGTGAGTGTACTAATATTTGTATATAGATTATGAATAAATATATACATAGAAGGTTTGTTTATTTAACAAATTTTTTTTACACATTTCTCAAAAAAAAAAAAAATTAAATATTTTAAAATTTGTAATCCATTATTTATTTTTATGTTATTTTTTTTAAAAAATTATATATTTTAAATTTTATTTATAATTTTAAAATATAATTAGATTAATTATTTTTACATTTTATTATAATAAATGTTACTAAAATATTTTTAATTATTTATTAATAATTTACGGAACATTATATAGAGACGGATGAGTAAAAGCGCATATATATATATATATATACATATATATAATTTACATGTAATGAATATAATGTAAATTACATGCAAAAAAACGTATTCATAATTTTTTTTTTTTGTTTATTTTTAATGTGAATATATATATAG